CACAGGGCCCACACCCACATGACCCCTGACCCCTCCTTCAGAGCTCCAACCACGTCCAGCCTCCAGATGGTCGAGCCTTGGGCCTCCCACCCTCCTGAAGGTAATATCCAGACCCTGCTTCTGAGTCTGTGTGTCTCCTAAGGTGAAATGTGTTGAGGTGTCCGTCTGACGCGTAGCAGAAGCGTTTCAGCTCGTTCCTTTGGAGAATGTTTGGCCCATGGAAGTGGATGGATGTTGGAGCTTGTGAAACAGGAGTGTCGAGTGCTGTAAGACGTCCAGTCGTCGGCAGAAGCTAGGGTGAAGTGCAGGAAATGGAGAAGGGTTAGGGTTTGTTCCTTCAGATATTTTTAAATGAGAGAGCACGGGATTTTGGAGAATGTAAAAGATAAAAAGTCTATTGATCCTCCTGGGGGATACTGTAGTCCAACAATAAGGATAATGCAAAAAGCAGTGAAAATAAAAAATAAAATAGAATAAGAACCAGAATGTATACTTGGTATGAATCATAAATGAAGGCACAACACATTTTTCATCAACTACATTTCAAGAGGTAGTCTAATAACTTGAGAACACAAAATACTTCCAAAATAAACTGCCTAGAAGTGCCAAAATTATATTTGATATTTATATATTTATTTTATGGACACAGGAAAATACCTTTTTCTGAACTCATCACTGTCTGTGCCAAACTATGGATAAAATCCTTCGCTGCACAGATTGCAAAATATATTTATAACAAAGGTGTTCATATCTATTTATACTGATGCAAACTGTAACTGACGTAATTTGAAGTTAATACTGTATGATACATATATAACTGTAAAGCCCTAGTGTCCTGAAACTTGCAGACAGTGCAGCCAGAATCGCAGAACTGCAGGCTGTGCTCTTTCTCATTTACCCCGAAGCTCTTTTGGTTAAGAATAGTGCCACAAAAATATCAGCCAGTCAAGGCAGCCCCTGTGTATGAATTAAAAAAAAAAAAAAGTCCTGAGTTGTACCTAAGAGAAAACAGAAGTTTTGCTGTCCCGAAGTAGGGTAAAATGCTGTGCTCTTTACCCATTGTACCTTTCATTGTGAAGCTGGCTGAATGGCTCAGTGGGTTTAATGAATGGCTCCCTGGTCGTCATCTGTAACTCACTTCTGCTCGATTCTGTAATCAGTCCTCTTCTGTAATCAGCCTTTCTGCTCTGCTCTTGTAAAAACGGGCAGTGTTGTTGCTGACTGGTGCTCAGAGGTGCAGCTGGAGTTGGGGGCCGATGACAGCTGCAAGGCCTGTGGATCTGTCTGGGATGCCCCCCATGTGGTCTGTGATCTGTCTCTGGTGTCTTTAGAGAATGAGAGTGAAACTCTGGTGTCATTCCACTTTTTCAAAATTAAAGAGTACATGTGCTGAATCTTTGTTTACATGGCTTTACTTGTGTATTGTCATCTTAAAATGAACAGTAACACTGTACTTTATTGCTATACTAGAGAAGGTCGCTATAAATGCTACAGCAAGGGGTATGTTCTCCAGATACATTTCAGAAGTTTATTTCATATGTCCCTGATTGTATATGAATTTCTCCTTGTAGATGTTGTGCAAGCTTATATATTTCTTTTTTATCTGCTTGCAGTGGACGTACATATGTGCTTTTTCCTTGAAGACACATATGTGAATGCTGAAATAACTCTGGTCACCTACCACTGTATGGTTGTCTCAAACGCCACATTTGCTAGATAGCTAAGGCATTAAAACTCTAAGTGTATAAGGTACAAATGTGCAGACTTCGTGACATTATTGGATTTAAAACTCCTCCCCTACCTGTTAGTCATCATTGCAATGTGCAGTGTCTTATAATGATAGGTGTTTCCTTTGGGATTCTAGCTGTTGACTTGTCTTTGTATTCTATTGTATTTGGGGGAAGGTTCAGGAAATAAGAGAACCACCTAGTCATATAACTGGGGAATATGTTTGCAAAGGAAAAGATGAATGACTAATATCAAGCAGGATTCTCTTTCACTGGAGACAGCTCTTCATTTTGCTGATTAGTTAACATTCTCCTAATATTAGCAGGGGTGAATTCAGACTGGGATTCGAATGCTAGCTGAAACTTGCCACCATATTCAGGGTGGTAATTTCCAGTATGTAGGGTGGAGTTAGGCATTTTGAAGGTTAATTGTCCAAATCAGATAGTTCCACTAGGGGAAGTTAACTGGAACATTACCCATTTCAAAATGCATATTTCCCTACTGCATTTTATTGCATTGTACTGTAACCCTATCCTATCTACAGAAGTAGCTATCAAGACGATTTGCTGAACCATTCTAGTGTTCACTGAGAAGTTTGTATTTGCAATTTTATAGTTATCCCATTTTAAACACTTAATACATGGGATGAATAGTACTTCTTATTATCCATCTCTAATCCGTTTTGGTCGTTACTTGGTTTTTATCTAACGTGAAGAATGGCCTTCATTGAACTTCGCATGCCAGGTTATCTAATGCATTTTGGTTCAGTGGGATCAAGTGCCAAAGAGCGCTTGGGGCAGGGAAAACTAATTATCTTGCACTTTCTTGCATATGAGAAACAAAGATCGGGTATAGATAAATGAGTTTCTAATCTACAATACAATTTCTATATCTGCGTATTTAAAGTTATACATGCATGATTCACATTGATCGCAGTCCGTACTATGGACAGGAAAGATTAACCAGGATTTTGACTTGCATCCAAGGTTGCATATATTAAATATGTTAATGGAATTTTCTATTTAAAAACAATCAGAATTCAACAGATTACACAGAACAAAGTTAAATCCAGTCCAATGATCTGTGTATATCCATCCATCTATCTTTTAAATGCATATTCTGGTCACAGTCGCAAATGATGTATTTCCTGAAAAAAGCAACCGCCCAAAATTAAGATCCTCTGTACAAGAGGTTATTCAAGACAAAATAGACTTGGAAACCATTCAGACTAACATCTAATTTTAATGTCGACTTTCCTACTTCGGTCTGGTTCACTGTCACCCTTTCTCTGAAAACAGATGCATACATACAGTATATGGTACAGAGAAGGGCACTTCCAAGACATCACATGTTCTCCTATGCCTCACTCACTGAGTGTCTGACACCTTTGACTATTGAGTGCTGCAACTAAAAAAATGTTAAGACCTTTGCAGTACAGAAACACTTGCAAGAAAAAGTCAGGATATAATCAGCCTATCATTATAATTTTTATGTTTTTAAGAAAGCTGTCCTCTCATCATCGAAGAAAATCTAAACTGCATTACAAAATGTGTTTTAACTGCTTGGTTATAAAACTGTGACACAGTTAATCACAGAACACATTATCAGATGTCTTGCCAAAAGATGCTGAGAACTTATCGACTCTGCCTGTGCTTGTCAATTTATTCTTTTATTCGTGGTTGAACACACCATGCTTCCAACTGGGCAAAAATTTTGTTTCACCATATGCATGCGTGGGTTTCCTACTCTGCAGCATGGGATGAGTTTGGTAAGGTCTCAGCTGCTGCAGGCAGAGCCATCTCAAACAATCCAGCCCGTTAGCTACACTGCACTGATGCTCATAAGTTGCAAAATGCCTGCGTTCTTGTAGCACGATGGCTGTGGTGTGTTTAATGGTAGGTGCCTTCGGTTGGTCGACTGCCGAGCCTTTCTGTTCATCCATTCAAATCAGCGGAAAAAAATCGTATTCGCTTTTTTGGCCGATGTATGTTCGGATTTCTTTGCAACCCTTCTCCTTATTAAGGCTTTTAAAAAACAGTATATTGAATGTTTGGCTTCACTAGCCACTCTAGACTCTGTATGTGTTCTCTATTTCAAAATAACCCCCCGCTTTATCTGTACTATACACATAGGCTCTTGACTGGGCCAGAGGATCAGGGGATTTGGCAGGGCCAGACGTGTAGGCTTGAAGGACAGAGAGAGCCTCATGTTGTCATGGCTCACGCTCAGAAAAAAAAAACCTGGGCAAAAAAGCAGGCATAACTAATCGCTGGCACGTCCTAGCCAAAAGACACAATGCAGCCGAGTCGTGTCTGGGACACTGAGCCTGGCGAACGGTTAATGGAGTAAGGTGGGTGACATCTGATGGCGCCATTGTCCAATGCTGCTGACAGATCAAGGATTGTAAAGATGGTGGAGAGGGAGGCTGCTCTACCGAAAGGGGAGTACCTGAAATAGCAAGAATGACTCTTTGATTGAGTTTAAATCCTAAGTGGCGGCAATCTGGGTGGTCATTCGACAAGAGAGAAGCACGGAGCAGTGTTTGCAGGAGCATGTTGTGATGTTTCTGACAGGAACTGGAGGAGATTGTGACCAACCCTAGGATTCAGAGGTAGCTATAGAGGAAAGGTGTGACGTGTATGCTTTAATGCAATGGGCAAGGAACCAGAGGACAGGGAGGAGATTCCTAAAAGTGGTGAAGCTAGATCAAGTGCTTGGGGGTTGGAATGAGTTATCCATGTCAGAGTACAATGAAGAAGAATAGGAAAGCATTTCCTAACTTGTGAAATAATTAGCACGTGACTTGTGCCAGTATTACAATGGACTCAGGCCACAGTTTTTGTTTGGCTGACCTATTGATTTTATGCTAGATATTTTCCTTGCACATCATAGAAAATGCAAGTGAAGCTTATTAAAGACAAGTGCGGGGAAGCCAAGAGTATGTATGCTATATGCCAGTGTTTGAATTCCCGTGTTAGCATAATTAACTTATTCTTCCTTTTAGTCAACTGCTTGTATTGTGTTAGCGAACAAGTAAGTAACTGTAGCTGACCGTGAGATGGTTTCTTTTCTTGTGACAGACAGATTACTATGTTTCAGGGTTTAGACTGGTGTCCTATCTAATTTTGCATGAAACCATTCTGGCTGATTATACTTAAAAGCAACAATAATGAAGGCCTACTTCAGCACATAACATTTAATTGAAGGACATGGTGTAAACATCCTGACACAAAGGAACTTTTACCTCTTCTTTGTTCCAGATGTTTATTTACAATAATTTGCCTTGTTTTTTTGTCACTAGTTCAGCGAATAGTTTAAGGAGGATGCTGCATTTACATTTGGAGCTGCTTTTAAATGAGCAGTCTGTGTCTGTGTGTATGTGTGTGTTTAAATAAGCAGTGGACAAGTGGTAGTTCTTACTTCCTGTGTCTGTTTGCTGAGGTGACCAGTACTTTTCTATATACACCACATTAGATTTCTGTAAGTATATGTCCAGATAGCGAAGGTTTGGTTCTTAATTGAAGTATACAGTCGGTCTAAATAGCAAGCGGCATTTTACTTATACGGTATAATTTGGAGATTTTAACAGTAAAGGAAGCTTTTGTTAAGGTGGAGAAATACAAATCTCTTACACATTGCTTTCTCTAGACGCTATATGTCACCATATCTGATGGCTTGGTTCATTCTTATCTAAGTGTCAGTTTGACTGTGGATGCACGCGTATTTTTTCAAGGTAAATTAAACTGAACAGATACCTTCCAGGGGAGGATTAAGGGAATGAGTATCATATATGTCAGGTGTGATGTGAAAGGCCTGTTGCAAGTGACACCAAAAATTACAAAATTGCCCCCATAAATCTATAATGTAGAGAGGAACTTCAAGTAGATTCATGGCCACCTACTAATATGTGCAGTGAATCGGGGACATACACAGACCCAGAACAGAATTCTCCTTCAGGAAGTCATGTTACAACAGCGACTTGGAAACAGTTAGAAGTCCTCTTTTCCAATGTTCTCTTAACCACGGAAGACTACAGAAAGGCCTTTGATTCACCTGAAAGTTGATGGTAGGCTGATATGGAGTGGCTGTTCCAAAGAGGTCAGGTTTAGGTCCCCTGTGATCACTGGGTTTCATTCTTGGGTGTTACCCTAAGTCCTATTCCCAGAAATGTCATTCAGGGTATTGTGCCCTAGCTACAGATGGCATTTGTCATTCATTTTTAAACCAGGGATATTCATTATGTGATTGTGTTGTCAGAATACACATTTTGCTATGAATCTTGAGGTGTAATTAATTCTTTATAAGATGTTATTTTCCACATGTTTCAGTCTTTTTAAAAACACCAATGAGTGCAAAAAGATTCCCACAAAAATGTGAAGTAGACCAGCAACAAGAATCCATTCCTCATTTAAGGTGGATAACCTTTTGTAATGTCACTGTAAAATGGGTCTATCTTTCCCCCTTTGGAATTTGTTTACAATTCAACTATGTTCGGCTCTTTTAAAAAGTACAAAGTGTGGAAAGGTTGCATGTATCAGGTGACCTCATGGCTGCATTTCCTGGACAAAGAGCTCATTAACTGGCCACAGAATGTTCTCATGCTGTATTCCTAATCCTGTTTTGGCTCTGCATTACTCCAGACATTTTGTAGTTGAGGATAAATGGCAACCGTACACAGACAACAAAGACGACTGCAGTTTATGGTTGTGCTTGTTATGTTTTCACAAGTATAGCTGGTGTAAATGAAAATTGTATGACTAGTTATAGTACCAAGGCAAACCAACCCCTGCCTTTAATTTTTATTATTTTTACAATCTTATAGGCAACTGATTGTGATACCAGCAAATAGAGCTTTCGTTTGTGAAATTGCTGGGTGAGGGATAGTAGCATGGTAGTAATGTAATATTTTGGCTGGGTTTCACTGAATGTTTATTGTATCCAAGCATCTCTATCAGGGCTATCTTTGGGCTGCAAATGTTATTGTGTATTTGGAGTGGAAGATTTATGCTTTGCCCTTGAAGACACTGTAGCTACTAAAAAGTCTGTGCTAAAGTGTCAGGGCTCTCAGCAAAACAAAACATCTATAAATCATAGTAAGCTCATCTTTTTCTCTGGTTTATTTATCTATCTATATATATATATATATGTATATATATATATATTTTTTTCTTTTCTTTTGTTCTTGGAGGGAGGTGCCTATACTAAATTTTAGTGACATTAATTTAAATTGCTTGACCTGCTGCCCTCCCTCCCAGGCCCTTGCCACTATTCACTATATCAGCATTTTTAAAATTTGGGCAGGTGATGTGATTTGTACTCGGCGGCAACATAACAGAGGAGGTTTTCTCAGTGGCTCTTATTGTATTCAGATTGGGTTAGTGTTTTAAATGATGTGCAGAAAAGGTGTGTGTGTGTGTGTGCGCTTTTAATTGTGTAGCTCTTTCCAGTAAGTTTTCTGGTTTTCTGTAATACCACAACAAACAAATCATTTAAATTTGAGTGAGACTACTAAGTACTTGCAGTTTTTTTTTTCTCTTTTCTGTATTTCTATGACATAATAGACTTTATTTACATTTGCTGGTTATTGTAACCAGCCATAGAAAAATAACTACAAACTTGCTGGTCAGAGTTCTGCATAAAGACAATTATAAGAAAATACCACTGTTTGCTGAAAACGGAAGGTTTTTGAGTAGCCGTTTCTCCTAACCGGTGCTCTCTTGCTTAGCATGACAATTTTATAGCAATACTATACATACTGCTATACCTAGCTGTTATGAAATATTTTCCATTTTTCAGTGGATTGTGGAATTTGCTAGGTTAAGCTAAAGTATGACATCAGGTCTCAGATCAGAGCAGGGAAATAAAGGCTTGATGACCATCTGCTGACCAGGACTGTGGATGGGTCAGTGAGGGCATATTAAAGTCAATCCCTTATGCTAATATATTTTTATTAGCTATTTATCAAAGCCCTTAACATTCTTTCCTAGTCATACAGGTGTACGCATAATCCACGCCTGTGTCATGTGGTTGATTGTGCGGGTAGACGGTTTGTTCATCTGTACTGACGACTGAATGGGTGTTTTGCACTTCCAGGGTTTGCACATTTGCCGAACAGTTTGTACCCCAGCACCTACATTCCACTGAGACATATCAATCACACGACTGGCAGCGGCTCTCTTCTAGCCCATTTGAGCCAGAACACCCCCTTTGACTCCCAGAAAGGTAAGTGTGCCTTGTCTCCTGGTTTTTCTGTCGTATACCATTCCTGGAAATCTGATGCTGGTTTACGATTGAGCCAGGGCATAGGATAAATTGCAGAATTACAACTAAGATCTTTTTCAGTAGGTTCAGCAGGGAGCGATTGTCATAGATCCAAGAAGTTACGCAACATTAAGTTCCCCGGCTGTCTTGGTCCCCCCCCCCCCCCTAAAATTAGCTACTAGCCTTTAATTACGACTGAGGTGAAACTGAAGGCAGATGGTAGTCATTTAAGAAGAAGAGTAATTGATCTTCCCTCCTTCAGAACAAATACTACCCTGATGCCTTTTCAGTGTGGTTCACTGTAATTCCTAATGTGCCTCTATTAGCCAGGCAGAAGAGCAAAGGAAATGTACACTCTCATTGAAAACAACTGGGGCATATGATGTAACTCAAACAAGCTTGTTGTTCATTGTAAGGCGACATTGTACCACTGTCTTGTATAATAATTATGTACCCATTATCATTCTTGGCCTCTTGACATGTTGATTAATATCTGCCTGGGCCTAAAATCAGCTGAGCACTGATAACCTGCAGTGTTTACGCATTAGGTTTTGCTGATGTTGTGGTTATTCCTATTTGTATTTGGAGTCTATGTCATGCAAGTTTTAGCTTGTAGGGAATTTTCCCCCAATGACATCATATTTATGACCCAAACGAAAGCTGTTGTTCTCTGCAAAACTACAATAGTTTATGAATAGTAATACCCTAGAGAATAGCAAGATAAAACTACTCCTGAACAGCAGCTTGCATGTAACAGACTGGTTTAAAATTTGTAAAATGCATGAAGGAATGCATTGCTATAGGCTTTATGGTCACTTTGCTTATTACTATCAATGTTTTGCCTTGTAGATAGTTTTTACCTGCCAAGCCAGACCAGACAGCCAGCTCTGCACTCCCAGTCTGTAATCTCCAGGACACCAGCTACCCCTACGTCCAGCTCGTTCTCTAAGGAGAAGGAGACCCCAGCACATCTCAAGGGAGAAAAAGATTCAGGCAGGGAAGAGGGGAAGGACAAACCTTTAAAAAGTGACCTGAGCCAATCTCATTCTCGCAAGGAGAGGGATAGGGTCAAGGAAGTGTCCCGATCACATAAGGTCATGGACCTAACCCAACACGTAAAGGTGGAAGGGGAGAGGGGGAGGAAACTGAGTGCCGTTGATCATCCATTTAGGAGTGGAGAGCAAACCTTGTCTGTCTTTCATGAGCAATCACCTGGGCATAAGACCCTGGAGATAAAATCAAAGAACCCCTTGAAAACTTCCTCGCTCAGCAATTGTATTAGTGGCTATGATAAAACCTCCCTGAGATACAAGGAAGCGGAACAGGACAGGTGCCCCAAGGACTTGGCTCATCATGATGAAAACATACGGCCAGGGGAGCATATCTTCCTAGATCAGCCGAAAAAATATGACTCAGTCGTTGCGTCTATTGGCACTTTACAGGAACCTCATAGTGGACCCTCCCCTCATGATGGATCTTCTCAACTGCCTCCACGACCGGTCCCTTTTGGGATGTACGCTCCTCCTCACCATATCCCATCCAGCCTTTATTCCAGCATGTATTCCACGGTAATGGAACCTGCAAGAGAACACAGAGTGTCAGGGCACACGTCTGTACCTTCTGTTGAGGTGTACGATGAGCGAAATGGACCAACCCAAATGGCGTCAAAGACTCAGGACAGTAAGAATGACAAAAAGATGGAGATCAATAGAGATGATAAAAAGGGAAATCATTTTGGCGGTTTGCAGTTCGTCAGTGAGAGGAATACTCATGAGGTAGAGTCTCGGCTCCATGGGGATTTTAGAAGAACCAGAATGTTAAGGGAAGAAGGTTCTGTTATCAGGCCAAACTGTTTAAATCTAAAAAGGCCGCAAACTGCAGAAACATACCGGTGCAAATCAGGACACAGCCCAGACTCAGTAAAATCAGTCCTAAGCAGTGCCTCATCCAAAGAAATGGTCAACATGAGGTTGGATCCTGAATCCTGTGGTAACGAGTGTAGAATCATCCAAAGGGAATGTGTTAAAGATTCTGGCAAAATTAACAATGGAACTGACTCTGCCAGGATCCACCAGGAACAGCAGTCAGCTAAAAGCTCAGTCTGCCCTGAGCCCAAATGGAAACCTTTAGAAATGGGAAATTACGCCACAAGCCACATAGCAGCACTTGTTACTCAACATGGAAATGGAGCGGAAGAGGAGGGTAAGAAAATGTACTCAGATCCCTTTTGCTTCCAAAGGCCTCAAGTGAGCAAGGACACCAGTTTTAGCTCTGAGGCTCGACCCTTGGGCACTCGGAGAGAGCTGTCTGCTATGCAAAGCCTAATAAAATACAGTGGTGACTTTACCAAGGAGTACAATTCCAGACATGATTCTGACAGCAGGATTCCCTTTGGAGGTTTGGGGAACTTGAAGCCGGAAATGAACCATTTTGAAGAGCCCAAAATTCAGCAACCTTTGAAGCAGCAGAGGAGGGAGCCAGAGCAAAGTGAAGTTGCCAAGTCTTTCGCCCGCGAGGGTATCACCTTCCAGGGGGACGTGGAGATCAGGCATCCACCAGTGGGGATTGCGGTGGCTGTGGCTCGACAAAGGCAATGCAGCAAAAAGCTGACCTCCAATGGGTCTGATCAGGACAGACCCCTATCTCTGTGTAGCAAAGGTAAGGGACTACAGCCTTCATGCCAGCCTATCAGCAAAGTTTTCTCAGTTGCATCTAGATACTGTTATGTTAATTGATACATTGTTTCTCTCATTTTATAATATTCTAAATTGGTTTCTGTTCAGCATGCTGGTTTAGCCTCTTCTATAAATCTGCTGTTCCTCTCTTGGGTCATGCTGCTCGAGTCACAGGGCTGCTCTTTTTTTTTACATTAAACATGCCTTCACTGTTTGCAGTAAAAAGCTTGATTGGCAACACCATAAGAGTGGAGAAAGGCTAACAGTTTTTTCTTCAGTCCGAGCAGCTGTGTAGCCATCCATCAGGGCAGAGCTCATTTGGGATGCACTGCTTGAAACCTTTGTCTGTGACGCCAGTTTCAGCGACGGTACCCCTCATTCATAGTGCTGATTCGAAGTCTAGGGAAATGGTTTGCCTTCATTTATATACAGCTCAGCCATATTGCTTTCGACATAATTTATTGAGCTTCGGTAAAAGCTGCAAATAGCATTTAAGGTACAGTAGACTGATTTTTGTTCCTAGCCAACACAGAACCAGAGAGCAAAATGTCAGTACTCATGGCACAGCTTCCCATGACCCATGACGTTGGCGTTTATGAAGGAATGTTTGTATTTAGAGCTAAATTTTTGTAGCAGGGGAGCCGTCCTTCAGGGGTGAGGTTAGTGAGATCTGTATGGTTTTCCTCGAGTTGGAAGCACCAGGTTTTCTTAGAAACACATTTTTGTAAAATGTCTTTCTCGTCATCGGGTTATTCTTTTAATAAGTAGCAATGTTTCCTCGGGATTTATGTTATATTCTTTTCATCTTTCTAAGACAATCATGTAATAGGTCTAACTTATTTTTTTCTTTCTCTTTGGTTTATTTTCAGATAGCCATAAGTGTCAATTTTTCGAAGAATATGCCTCTTTTATCTTAAGTCTGTTGGGTTAGGGTTGCCATTGTATTCTGATAACACAGGTTTGCTTGTAAGTCACATAAAACAGTTCAGTGTAGAGATACGACCCCCCCTTCTCATTCGTGGTCTTAGCTTGTCACTGAGTGCGATTGCAGCAGAGTGTGGTCATTGGATGAGGACCCAGCTTTACACCCACAATAGCTGCGTCACTGACCTGCACACGCTATGGCTTTTAGACATTCATGAACATGCAAATGAATGATGAATTCAATCAATTATTAAACAGTGGGTTTTATATAAATTATGAAAAGGAGAGATATGAAGAATTACTTGTTAGATTCATATTATCTTGGATTGGAAGTAACTTGAAATTTTGAACATTCAAACCTGTACAGAATCCAAGTGACTGATATACCTATAGTGGGTGATATTTTGGTATATTGGGCCAGGGTGTGGCTCAGTGGGTTAGGACTGTGATCAGAAGGTCGCCAGTTCAAATCCCAGGTAAGGCAGAGCGATTTCCCCATTGGCCCCCTGAGTAAGACCCTTAACCCTGATTGCTTCTGGGACTGGTTAACCCTGTAAAACATCAGTATCACAAATGAGTAATGCCAAAATATTATTTGCAGCAGCAGACCATGCAGATGATGATCACAGGGATGAGCGAGTAGACCGTCGTGAGGAGTGTGTCCAAGCACGTCATCGGGGACACGACCAGGAGAAGCTAATGAGGTAAGAAGAGGCTGGAAGCTCTTTATATGTCATTGATTTATATCACTTCATTGATAATGGAGCAAAACACTATTCCGTACTTACTGCACTTGTGCCAAACATTATTCTGCTTTAATATGAAAACAATTTCACTTGTTTGTGCATTAGCTTGAAAGCTTGTGCCGTACAGTATTTGGGGTAAATTTCATCCTTTTTCAAAATATACTTTTTTGTTATTTATTCAGTAACCTGACATTGGGATGCAGTCCCATGATATTGTTTCTGAGAATGAAAAACTTTTTTTACCCAAGAAGAAATGAAAAGATCAAAAACTTGGTATAAAAATCTCATTGAATTATTCTTACTTTGTTTTCTCCTCTTTAAATCTCGAGTGGCTTTGTTTTATAAGATTTGTTGCTCTTGTGCTTCTGATGTTTTTAAATTATGGAGGCAAAAGGACAGCATTTAAAACGTTCTCAGAATTACCTTCATGCGCTGTAATTGTGTCCCTGATGTCTATCTTTGGACATGTATATGGTAGAATGATGAACTGAATATAAAGGTCCAGTTTTCCCAGTTTTCTCTGAAAGGTGTGGGACCAGGATGGTGATCTGTTTTTCCTTTTTGTCTTGTGGAGATAAAGGCGGCTAAAGGGCGAGGATGTTTGTCCTTTGAAGGTTATTTGTTAGAAGAGCATTTCCTATGAGTAACACAGGCTTAGAGCAGCGTAGGCAGGTCTTGGCAGCACAAACAAATGCTTGGATTTTTGTGGCGAGGCTCAATAATGACTGACTATTCTGTGAAGTCAAAAAGGAATGTCAAGGCTGGTGAAAAACGAAACTGGCTTAACTCAAGCAAAAAGAACAAGATGATTAAAAAAACTGATCATTAAAATGAAAAATGTGGTAATGAATTGTATTGCTATATGAAGAAGTAAATTGTCTCAAATACTTTTTTTATTCTAAAAGGAGCTACATTTCTCAAGTTCAGACAGGAGCTTTTTCAGCTCTCATAGCACATATTTATCAAAAGGGAATATGGATTTTTAAGTACTTTCTCAGCTCATATGAACTTTTCAAAGTGTTGAAGACGTACCAGAAGTCTTGTGGAAATTGAGAATAATAAAAGTCTGGATCCTTCTCAGCATGTCTGCCTTTAACATGCAGCATACTGAAGTAGAGCGATTCAGAGTGAGGCAAGCTGGTGTTGTGTACTGCGTGTCGCATTTAATGAGCTTTTTGTGCAAATGAATAAACATGCTGTGTGACTACTGTGTTGACTAAACTACTAATAGCAAGATTAGTTTGGGTACTAGTCAGTTTTCATGTCACGACTGCTCTGAAACTTAAAGGTAATGGTATACATATATAAAGCTGAGTGTCTCTCAAATGTGGTCCTGAAATGACACTATATTCTGTAGTTCACTTTGTCTTTAAATTTATAACTAAATGTCTCACCTCAGTTACTGAGTTACAGAACTATTTTCTACTTTAAATCAATTTCCATCAAAATGTTGAGTGTAAATTTGTTGTTCTACAGAATCGTTTTTAACATCATTATTACTAATGTGTCATTTATGAAGCTGATGTTTATTACAACATTAACTTCCTGTCTTTCAGTTATGTGTGTTCTTTTGGTTAATTGTACATTTGAAGTGAGTTGTACATTTGAAATTACGTTTAGCCACATTTTTTTGTCTTTGCAGTTCTCGCACTTCCTAAAATGTGCTAGCTGTAGTTCAGCCTTTCTTTGTTTACGTTTTCTGATACCCCCCCCCCCCTGGATTTTTTGTTTTTGCTCACAGAGAGAATAAGGAACTGGCAGAGTACACGCATATTCACCCACCCCCGGGGGCTTCTGCTGGCTTATATGCCAATTTGATGCTGACCGGGGGCCCAGTCGTGGCGGGATCTGGGCGATGGCCTGTTGAGGCTGGTGTCCAACTTGCCACTTATTCCTGGATGCCCCGCGCCAACACCCCTGCAATGTGGCTTCCCAGATCTCCCTACGGTAGGCTGCTGAATTCCTGCCTCACTGCTCTCATTCTCATGCTGGACAACGCCCAAGTGTAATAAACAGCGCTTCCATACTGCTTTGCCACTTTTTCCCCCCAGCATTTTTATGGCTATTTACGAAGGGGAACAGTTGCTTTTAAGAGACAGTAGTTATATGTTATGTCAAAAAGCATGTCTGTGTCAAGTAAACATGACTCACAAGTGACTGGAATTGTGTCACAGGGATAATGGCACTTATTTCATTAAGATAATTAGGCTCTTAAAGGAAAGTACATTATGTACACAACATTTATAACATTTAACTACTATGCGTGACGTATTTTGGAATGTGAATTATTAGGTACATGGCTGTATTATTAGGTCTTAAGTCTTATTAAGTCTTATTAGGCTACGTCAGTCGAGGTTTTCAAGACCTGCCAATCTGTTACTTGTTTATGTGACCATGTTGAAGAGACTTATAAGGAAATAGCTGGGATTTGAACTCTATCTAACTCGGTGTCGACATACCTCCTCAACCAGAAATAACAGCAAATAAAACAATCACATCAGAATTCCTTCATGTACAAACTTAAGTCTAGACAGAAAGTTAAACAAAAAACAATTCACCACAGTGTTTTGAAACCTGCCATACTGACGGATTGATCTGAACATTCTGAAGCTCGGTCCTTTGCATGTCACACATCACAACCTGAAGATGAACAACAAATAATGAAGGTGGAAATTCAGTATTCCTGATGGCTTCATGAACATTATTTCCTGACCTTTCCACCTGGACAGGCTTGGAGCACTCTCTCCATCAAGGCTTGCCTTCAGGGTATTCCACCACTCTTCCTGGGTCCATCAGCTCTCCATACCACATTGTACAAGATCCCCAATCAGGACAACTGTTGGTAGTTCCTACGGAGCACCTTGCTCACTTCGGTACGTGTACCATCTCCCATCCCTTGCAAACCAGTTGACGCCAAGCCTCTGTCGCGTTTTTAATCAAGCTCACCTCCGCCCCCAGCAGCAGCAGCCAACCTGATGGAGCGAGGTCCCCCCGTGTGGCCATACATGTACCCCCTGACAGACAGCTCTCTCCAGCATGCCCACCAGCTGCAGCTCCTCTCCCACCAGCAGTTGATACAGCAGCATGAGCTCTCCATGATGCAGCAAACCTCACATGCCATGGAGCTTCAGAGGAGTGCCCAGCTGATGGTGAGCTTTTCTCGCCCTTTCATTCTAGAAGGTTTAAAAGACTTAGCAATAAGCAGTATATTAGGCAGTATTGTCGGACCACACTTGATTGATCCACCAATGCTTGCCATGTTGTTCCTGGCCTTTTAGCCAGAAGTACATTGTCATGCATGAGTACAAACATTTATGTGTATGAACAATGGTCATGTAAAGGCAGGAAGTTAACTTAACAAATGACAAAGAAATCGGTTGTAACATGATGCTTAGCTATTGGAATAGCTATTGACGTGAGATTCCATCCATCCATGGTTATTATATCCGTATCTTATTTAATATATTGCTGTAACCAGTGTTGGAAAGGTTACTTTTGAAATGTTATAGGTTACAGATTACTACACTGCCTGAGCAAAAAAAAACGTCACCATTTGATTTTAAATTAGCAAATACTTAAGAACCAACGATTGGATCATTAGTACAGCTCAGCAACGTTATGCAGCAATAAAGTGAAATCAGCTGAGTACCTGAATCTACTGAATGGCCAAGATTCATCGGGCTTGAATTGTCAAAGAGTGGTTCAGGGAACATAAGGAATCATTTTCACACATGAATTGGCCACCATAGGGTCTTGACTTTAACCCCATTGAAAGTCTTTGAGATGTGCTGAAGAAGACTTTACGGAGTGGTTCAACTGACTTATAATCAATACAAGATCTCAACAAAACAATTATGCAAATCTGGATGAAAAAACTGTTGATGTTGCTTAAGTACATGGAAACAATGCACCATAATCAAGCTAAAGGCAGACTAACAAAATATAAAGTGTGCAACTTTTTTTTGGCTAGGCAGTAGTCACCCTATTAAAAATGTAATAAGTATAGCTATTTTGATTAATTCATCAGTGTAATGTAACATTACGTTTGATTGCTTTCTGATTGCTTTTCTAACAAGTGCTTAAAAATGGGCAATAAAGCTGAAAAGTCCCAGTGGTTTTGCTGACTATGGTCTGAAAATATGCCAAAAGAAGGCATTTCTGAACAGCGTAAAGATGCAGAGCTATAAAATATTACATTCTACATATAAGATTTTTACCAAAAAGGATATATTCAGATGTAACCCCTTTGTAATCACCAACATTTTTATTAGAGTAACTGTAATTTAATTCTTACAAACTGTAACAATTACATTACAAAGCAATTATATTTATTTTACCATTTCATCATGTAATGCAGTTACGTGTAACTAGTCACTCCCCAACACTGGCTGTAACATTGCTAAAGTAGTTTAAAGTCCATAATTTTCCTAGTAATATCTTGATTGCACTGAATTTTTTTTGCTATCAAATGCTTGTGTTATTGCGGGACTAGTGTAATTCAGCAGTGCTGCTGTTTTTGTTGGAAAGAATTTGTTTTTCAGAAACTCTGCATACTCTTCCCTGTCTCACCTTGAAGTGAGCAATATCTTATATGTTGTGATGAAATGTTTATTAGTAGCTCCTCCTCATGAAAATTTTGCAGAGCGAGGTTTGCAAAATGTATTTCTGACATTGTTTCTGCTAATGTTAAAATAATTCTACACAGCAGACATTTTTCTAACCGTTTAATACGCGGGCGTGCAAAGCAATACGGGCCACCATTTTAAAGGGCATTATCGGCGGTAAATATCGGCTCATTTTTAACCGTCAGTAGATACCGTTAGTTGGCCGGTGCATCTCTACATGATATGTTTGGTGTTTATTGCTTAGTGGTTTTACCAAAGGTGTTTTTTCTCCCCACAGGATAGGCTAAAGGAAAGTGATCATAGAGCTGAGCTAGACGACAACGCCACCAAAAGAACCGGTGATAATGTAAAGCAGGGTGTCCCAGGCGTCAACACGGCTTCTCAGAGACACCGTGAACGCTCCACAACTCCCACATCTAGCCAAAATAAAGCTCTGACCCCTATGCCCAGTGTGATGGTACATTCTCCCACTGTTAGCCTTAAGTCTGAAACCGGACAGGAGGCAGAGGAGCGCAGACATCGGCAATCCTCCTACATGCACCTGTCTGCTAGAGCTCGTCCTTCACCGAGTCCTGCCTCTGACCCACCTGTACTGCTTCCAACTGGATTCCCCAAGAAGGAGGCCATTCAGCCGTCAGAGCAGAAAGACTTTGGTTAGACACTGTTTCTAAGAAATGATCGATTTCTTTTTGGTTGTGTGCGCACTTGTTTGCGAGTGTGTGTAGTGCAGCTTTGCTCCGAAGAGATCTGGTCCATGAAAGTGTCATGGAGCCCAGGTTCTCGAGTGTAAGGCTGTGATTCATCGTTTTGTCACTCTTGTCACAGGGAGCTATAGCTCACTAAAAACCTTTGCTTAATGGATATACTTTGTGAGCTTCTCAGACATCTCTTTCATCTCTTTTGGCAGATGTTTCTTCTGGCTACCCATACCGATCGATGAACGCTCCGTTCGAAAGCCCATATCCCTACCTCCAGCAGACGGCCACTAAGACTGACACGGACCGACAGACACTGGATGTGATGTTGACAGCTAAAAGTTTGGAACGTGAGGCTTCCTCGGTTGAGGAGAAGCCCGTCGATTCCCCTGGTGTCGTGCAGCCTCTGCATTCACTCAAATCATACCACAATAAGCTCAAGGAGGAAAGTCTCCTGAGGAGAGGAGAGGAGGATGAGAACCAGGGGAGTCAAGGGCCACATCGATTAAGTAAGTCAGAAATGAGGAGCCAAGACCTTCAACTGAACCCTGAGCAACAGCACCGTTCATCATTCATGGTCACCATGGATAAGGTGGAGAAGGAAGTGGAGGATTTTGAAGCGGTGAAACCTGAGGAGTCCTTAGTCCAGAGCTGTCAGATTTTACCCCAAGTTACTGACTCCAGCTCCAAGCTGGTACTGAAGGGAGTCCAGGATGGGTCAACCTGCCCAGCAGCCCAGCAAGCTCCAGGTCCAGGAGAGGCCACAGAGTCTGACCACTCCGCACAAAGCAGCACAGTGCCCATCTGTCAGAGCCAGAGACCAGACGATGCATTTTTGCTGCCTGTGAAAGCAGGTTTAAGGGCTGCTAAGAAAGACTCTGTCCTCCAGCTCTCTCAGTGTGAGAACCGGTTTTCGGGTGAGGATCCCCTTCCAAGATGCACGCCCCCTGTTCCGCCTCAGGGCCCCGAGACAGGCATGATCGCACTGGCAGCTGCCAGTGCGGTGCCTCAGGCTTGTGCCTCACCATCGGTAACTGACACCCTTCATGCGGAGCTGCCAAACGTCTCAAACGTGGTGCCCCTGGAATCATCAGCCTTCGAGGGAATTGCTCTCCTGAGTGAAATGGCTGAGATGGAACTGGAGAAGCGCCGCTGTAAGATGCACTTTCATTAATTTGAGAATCCATTTCTGCTACTTTGTATCAGCCAATTCTTCCCATGTAGCAAATGGGAAATTATTCTTATTATGGACCTCCCAGGTATTCATTTGTAAACTCTGAGGTGCTGGAGCTCATAATGACCATGATGATGTCATATACACAAATCGGTCTTTAACGATGCAGTATTTTCTACCGCCACCTGCTAGTACATCAAAATTTTCATCTGATTTTATAGATAAAAATTTCTTTAGTTCAATTAAGATTTATTTCGAATTAATTGTAAGTTTAATTATATTGAGGCACAGGGTGCTCTGAGCCAGAGGTTCCAGCAAACTCCAGCACAAATTAAGCCCTGGACCTACCTGTGGAAATGATCAGTGGTATCTTTACCTATAGATTTACCAGTTTTATGACTGATAAAACTATCATATTTTGTAAGGAAGTAAGAGCAAGATCCTTTATTTTTGCTGGTTAATAAAAGGTTCCTTGGCATGGTAGCTAATACATTGTACTTATGCATGCAGGTATGATACAGTATAGTTTGGAGAACCTTCTACTGGCTGGTAGGCAAGTGCTGCTTGAAGGGCTGGAGTTTGATCCAGTCATCAACATTCGTCTTCCCAGAGAGCTCAACCCAAACAGAAAGTATAGCTGGATGCAGAAGAAGGAGGACGATGTAAGTGGATTGAGGATGTTCTGAATTAAGTTCTTCAAACCGGCTTGGTTATTGCTCATTTTGCAATAACAAGTTCACACTCTCAGCTGTTGAGTAACTTGCCTTTATACTTTTGGCAGAAGGGCTGGTTTTCCACTGATATTTTGACCTTCTGACTACACTCACAACCCCAGCTAAATGGTTTTTATAGTTTTATGTATTTTAAAATCATGTTTTTCATTTTTATAAAAAACTGTCAACATCTGGAAAAAATCTTGATACTTCATTATAATGCTGTCCAGGCTATAGACCATAAAAGTTGAATATACATGTCTGTTTGTAGGAACTGACTTCCTGCACTTATCTGAATTCCAAAGTTAGTGAAGTAAGGTTTTTCCATGTTGAAGTGTAGAGTTTGGGAAAAGTTTAAAAAGCTCTCTATAGTTTTTCTTTAGACTTGAAGGTCATCCTCTACCTCCAACCTATTTTTCCCTTCTGGAAAACTCATTGGATGTCCTTCCTAAAACATTGCTTTTATACTTTGCCCTACAGCTGCTCTCCATGAAGTCAGGCGTAGAGGGCATGGGTGTGCTGGAGGTGGATTACCGCACGAAGCTAGCTGAGCTGCAGAGGCGCTACCAGGCCAAGCAGAGGGAGCTGCTCAAGTTACACAGACGACATGAATCTACGTCAGTTATATATTTGTGTATTTACAGTACTGTGCAAAAGTCTGTGTATATTTGCTCAGTACAACAAAAAAAAACACAATTTAGCTTTAGAGAACATGCAAATTATGACATACAATAAGACTAGTAAGAATTTCGTCTGTTATGCAAGAAGCTACTGATATCTTGGATGGTTAGAAGAACACTGCTTCGCTTTCCAAACATCTCCTCAGGGGCACCATCAGCTGTTCCATGTATTAGTTACATTTCACAGCCAGCTCACTTAATTAATTAATTGCATTATTTTTAAACGTCATTGATTAGCCGCGCAAGGTGGTGCAGTGGTTGAGTCAGAAAATGAACGAGTGTATTGGGTGGCTGCTGCATGTGTTGGAGTGATTTTAGCAGGAGTTTTGGTATAGCTAAGCTAACACACTTTTACAGGCATAATATCATAGATTTACAGCAACATGAAGATCATTTAAACATCAGTTTCTTTGACTGCTTAAGACTTTTGTACAGTACTGTACATTTACTCATGTGTATTTCAAAATTTTTATTGTTTTCATTATTATTAGTAGTAGCTACAGGTATTTATGACCTTACCTTGTTTTATTTGACAGAGAAAAGTCGCTAGAGGACACAAACAGCATCTCAGTAAAAAGAGGTCCAGGGCGACCCAGGAAGAGGAAGCACGGCATCAGTTCTGCACTCTCTTCACCAGCAGACAAAACAGAGGCCAAGTGTGGGAGGTAAGTGCTAGTGGAGACCCCCACCCTGAAACATAAAGCTGAAGCCGCCGGCATACTCAGACTGCTGCATGGCCTTCCCTCAGCTTCAGCCAGAGCTTGCTCCTGTCTGAAGACTCTGAAGCTGGAGAAGCAGATAGGAAGCGATTACGAGGCCCCAGCCTTGACGATGAAGAGGAGACAGATAGTGAAGAAATCAATAGAAGAAATCAGGACTGGAACAGCAAGGAAACTGCAATGAGATATTTTCAACAGGTGAGATCTTCATTTGCTATATTTGCCTGCAGGTTTATTCATCAAACCTGAATAAAATTAGCTAAATTTTTCAGGCATTACACAGGCAGTCCCCAGGTTAAGAACGTCGGACTTACAGACAACTCGTACGTATGGATGGGCTGCCATAAAGTGTTACATTCAAAATTCAGGTTAAATACAGTGGTTCATAATAAGGAACGTACTCACTACTCTGTGACTTATGAAAAAAGTGCAGTTTCAGTGGTTCATCAGCTTGAGGTACAGTACAGTATTATATGTAGTCATTATTATTGTACATTAATTAAGATGTACACTATTATTATTTTTCTGACTTAACTAAATTCGACATAAAGACAGGGAATGGATCTCGTTCGTGACCTGGGCGCTGCCTGTAATACAAATGCCAGATTGTTCAAATGTACCCACCTTATAGATGCCATCGAAAAGGAAGTGGCGGAAGGCAGCCATGCATGAACTGTTGGCCACAAAGCTTGACAAGGCCCTCTCCCTGACCGAACTGAACAAGCACGCAGAAGCCTCACTGGATCATTACAAAACAAATTCTGGAAGTTGCAGCACAGTGTTTATGCTCCCGGGTTTTGAGATGAAAGGTGAGTAATGAAATAAGAGACCCTTATCACCCTCCCCCACAAGACAGGGAGAAGTTGAAAGTGAAAGGTCAGCTATGCACTACAAAATGAGCGGCCACTCATACAACAGGAGCTGTGGAGGATTGCCAGACTATTATGGGATTTTCCTTATTTTCATTAAATAACAGTTAAATATCAAATGTTTTTTTGTGTTAACAGAGGACCACAGGGGATTTTAACCATCCACTCATTTGGACTACCCGCTTGTCCTATGCAGAACATTTAACATGACATTTTTAATATTACTTTGCATAGAAAATTAATATACTGTAAAGTTACAGGTTGCACTTAATTTGAAAGAGAGGCTAGTGGCAAGATCTGTGATTTATTAAATATTCCAACTTTTGTTTTTTTAATGTTAAGCCACTGTGTACATAGCTTGGGGTTTTTGCTTATTACTCTGCACACTGGCTAATTTGAATTTTGGTATTTATTTATAATACATCACTGTAAGTTGAACAGCAGTATGGGAGCCCAGTTATTAAGCTTTAAAAGACACTTGCCTCCTGATTTGCCGCAGACACAGACTCTGAAGAGGATGGTGATTCTGTAAAAGATGGCTGGCCCACACATACAATACTGGGCCGGCCAGAACTACGCAGCCAGTGTTCCAGCCCATCAAGCTCCGGGTCCAGGAGAGGCGAGTCGCTGTTAGACAGGACCACGGTTTCCGGAGCCCTGAAATCTGCGCAGGTCAACCAGACGAAACACAGGCGCTTCCCTCCTCGGCTGCAGTCCTTCAGCGAATCCTCGGAGGACGCCTTTGATCAAGGTTCCCTGACCAAGGCCTTGCTTTGTTCATAATAATATAAACATAGTAGTTACTCTGTGTTTACATGCCATCAATGCTCCTACTATTGGTGGCCATGCGCTAAAGACCACTGCTGTGTGGTTTGTGTGATTGGGTGTAAAACAACTGGCTTTCTTTGAGCCCCTTTAAAATCCTGTTTACGCTCTCAGCTTGATTTGCAACATCTGTATTGGAATTGCAATGCAAGTGTATTTGCTAAGTGTGTTGGTAGGTTTATTACATTTCTGTGAAACATGCTGAATTTATTTTGACCGAACTCCTGCTGTTATTTCTATTAATTCATTAGGCGGGCTCAATCTCCAGCTGTGATTAAAATACCCCTTCCAAATATGCTCTAAATTTGTGTTGAATAGAGACGTGTTTGTGTGCACATGCAAACATTCTTTAAAAACTAATATCCATGAATTTGGTTTTGAAATAATTGTGAATCAGACTTTTAACCAGAAGGCAAACTGAATGCTCAGGACAGCTAGTATAAGAGGACAATGTCTGAGCCTTTCTGCAGGTTTTGGCCAGTGAGGCTGGCATTGTTGAAGTTACGTAGCTTGTTGTTTTACTGACTGATGCCCTGTTCACTAATCATTAACCTGCCTTTTGATACTATTTAACTTTCCCTGACTGTTGCTTCTCCTCTGGGTATCCCCTCTTAAACAAAACCGTTCTTACTTGCCTGTTTTTATTACACATTTACTTTTCCTGTGTGAGGCAATATTTTTGCCATTAAACGCAGCAGTTTAAATTTAAATCATAGTACATACGGGTAAATTAGTAGCAGGAAGAGATGTAGTCATTTGTGTAATCACAGGCTTAACCTTTCCTCACCCTACCGTATTTAATGAAACGGACTTGTTCATAGAGATGTTTATGTATTTTTCTATTTTGTGTGTGTGTGTGTGTGTGTGTGTGTGTGTGTGTGTGTTTGGTGGATTAGGTTTATAGGAGGCAAGTGTCTTTTTTTTTATAAAAACCTGTTGTTTTGATGTTGTGGGGACCATTTTTTGGGTCCCTACAAAGATCTGTGAATGCAATCTAAAAAGTAAAAATGGCAAAAGTGTCATTTTTTGTTTGGTTACTTATGGTTAAGGTTAGGGCTGGATGGGGGTCTCACCTAATAAATTAAACTACACTAATTTCATTTGAATATCTGATATGTAAAAGATCAGTATTCCTGGTCAGTGACCTCACCATCCTCAGAGTGCACTTTATTTTGTAACAGTATCATATGGAATTGAAGCTTGTGTGGGTCTTGAATTAAAACTGAACTGTGTAATAATTCAGTGCAACACCTGGGATAAATGCAATTAGTCAGTCATTCTGTGGTAGGCATGCAGATTGCTTCATTATTGCTACATTTATATATATATATATATTAAATAGTAACCCAACCTTTGTAATATATCTTTGCTGCTTATACAGTTTGCTGTGTGGTATGTTATACCTATGCAAGTTTGTGAGTATGCCCATGCAGGCCGTTAGGGTATTTATATCCAGATTACAGTTCTACTGAGAACATTTACTCCAAAAAATATCTCATACTCTGTCACATTAGTATTCTACAGAATGTGGAATTGGTGGGGAATGTAAGACTCTTTGATAGCATGCAGCCTTAGATGAGGTTCAGCCTTGGCTGAAGAGGATGAGTCCTGCCTGAGTTTTCTTTCATTGTTTATGTCAGCTTTTTACACAGGGGACCCAAAACAGAAGCGATTGCATGTACTGTAAATAGTGCTGAGAGAAACGTGGCTAGCCTGTTTTTGTCAGTGTGACTCTGCTTTATTTTTTCATCTCTTCCAAATTACAAGGCGCTTCATCGAACCCCTACAGCAGCTGCACGTTAACACCCTTTTCTGGTCGTTTGGAGTAGCTGCATACGTCGGCTAGGGTGGTTTCTCAATTTCAAATGTGATCCTGGGCCCCGGCAGCCGTCCTGTGTTAACATGTCCTTGTCTTTGATTAAGCAAACCCTCAACGTTGTCACTTGTCCTCCCTAATTAGTTGTTGAGTGTGTTCTTTGACAGCCTGTATTTTTTATTTTTTTGGCCTCTTGACGAGATCCTCACAGAATGAAGAGTTAATAATTTATGTTGTCTTTATTGGGGATTTCTGCTTGTAGCAGCGAACCCGCTCCCGCTCCCGCTCGCCTACTCATTGTTGTGCTGAGCTGTATCAGCATGGGAACGCTGTCTCTCGTTAGGTCTGCCGCTATCTGTGCCTTTGCATACCCAGCCTTTCACCTTGAGCTGCCTGAATGGGAATCCAGCTTTAAATTGTTTCAATCTCATTGTATTTATGAGCAGTGTGCCGCCCTGCACTGTACCCACAGTAAATCATGCTTGTTTCTCATGCTTTAATCATTTTTATTGGCGAGCAGACCTATGAGCAAATTTAAAGGACATATCTATTATCTCCAATAAATTTAGCCTTTGCCACAGTACCGTGACAGATGACAAGGATGGTGAGCTACAGCTTAGCTTTTTTTTTTTTTTTGCCTGCATGTCTCATATGAATTATTGGTCTTGTTGGTATATAACTTGTCCTAGAAGGGACATTTTGGACTCTGTTTAGGATAAGTATTAAATATTTTAAGCCTTATAGATTTAACGTTGGGTTTAAATGGGATCATTTCAGAATAGTGCTTTGTTGTCCCTCACAGATTTCTCCAGGAAGAAAGGCAATGAAATGGAGGAGGAGGACGGCTATGGATTTGTGCTGGACGAAAGTGTTGGGCTGTGCTCCTCCTCTCCGGAGGAAAGTGGACTGGGCCTCCTGGCTCTCTTTGCAGCCAGAGTTGTGCCAAGCCCAGTCACGTCCTCCCCGCTCTCCACCGTCAAGCCGAAAGCAAAGCAGAAAGCCAGAAACAAAGAGGACAGACAAAGCCTTCTGGGTAACGGCCTTGGCACTTGCCTCTTTCTGTCAGTCTCATAGCCCTTTATCTGCAGACGTGGTAAACAGTGCACGTCCTCGTAACGATCAGTCATAAAAAACGCAGTCTGCTTCATCTGAAGTGAGCAGTTTCTGTCCTTTGCAAATCAAATGAAGCGGGACCTATAAACAAATGCAATCATTTGGTGTGTTGCCACTGTCTGGTTTTGAATGTCATCTGTGAGTGCCCCATGCGTGTGCGCCACTCGTGCAGAATGAATAAGGTAGAATAAACAACAGTTTAAAAATAGCTTTCCGCACATTCGTTCTACCCTGAGAGTCCTTTTGCTTTTCTCCTCGGTAAATCTGGTCGTGCATTCTCCCTGGCTGGATTCTTACTGCGCATACCGCACTACTCGTGTGCTCCTGACAAGTGCTCGATTGAGGAATATGAGGAACCATCTTCCTAATTAATACCCCAGATGCTGTGTTATAAGTACGTGTTCATAGTCCGTTCCCACGCACATCCGGTTCTGATAGTAGTCTTACTGAGTGTAGACAGCATTGTTAGTCTTGGTATTGTTAGAATAATAGAGACAGCAGGAATAACCTACAATGAACTGGTGGTAACAATAGGAGTAGCTACTTCAGACTGAGAATGAAAATGTAGGGAGTTGACAGTTCATAGAGAGAGCTTGACGTCTCTTGGCTCACCGTGCAGAATACTTGCATGCCAATTGGTGACCTTTCATTACAGATCTGCCGTCATTCTTGGACGAAAGCGCATGTGACTTTATTGATTTTATTGCTCATCATTACAGATTTTTAATGTTGGCAAATTCTGGTCTTAGATCAGGAAATAAAAGTGCAAGGCCTACTACGTAGTCTGCTTTCATGAATAATTCAGACCAAGGCTAAATTATCGGTCTTTGTTTAAAAAAATATATTATTTGCCCTTTTAATAAAGAATGCACTATGTGACACAAAACAGATTGTCCTCTTTCATCCACTAAGAGATCACAGGCCTTGTCCCTGCAGGATTATTCCAACTTCAATAAAATCATTCCCTCGTAATTTTCATATTTCACATGCAGGGATTGTCATGTTGATTCATTATTCATCATCATTCCATCCTCAGAGCCAGTACAGTCTTTTATCTGTTCCCCTATGGTACACAATTACATAGGTTAAAAGCCTTATTGTGGCGGTTAATCTGTTTGCCTGAAACCTGAACCTGGTTTGGCAAAGGGGATTTCAGCAGGGGGTCTTTAAAGCCATGAGGTGCGACGCCTGACAGTGTGTGTGCACGCACTGAGCTGTATGCGTGTGCATCTCTTGAAGAGGACTGGTCAAAACTGTTAGCCTTCTTTTGTTCTGCCGTTGTTCTTTTCAGCAGTCAAAGTCAGATGCAGACCACAGCTCATACTTACTGACGGGCTGTCCAGCTTTCGGATTTATAATTCTGTGAAATCGTCCTTATTTGGGGTGGTGGGCTTTTATGTTTCCTTTCAAACTATCTCGTCCAGACGCGGAGGTGGGGTGCACGGATTCCGAGAGCGACGCAGCGGCCGGGAGGACGGTCGGCCCCCCGCGGCATGAGGGCGGCCCACCGGAGGAGTCCGGCTCCGGCAAGCCCGTGGCGGCCTTGGAGTTCCCCAGGAAGCCCAGGAAGATGAAGGCGGCCGAGGAGCTCGACTTTCATCCCAAGGCGGAGGCCAATGACGAGGAGCGCTGGACCCGCCGGAGGAGCGAGCGGATCTTCCTCCACGACGCCGCTGCGCCCGCCCCCCTCTCCCCCTCCCCCAGGAGCCCCCCAGCCACTGAGCCCAGACCCGGCCGCTGCTCTAAGGCCACGCCGTGCAGCTCCAAAAAAGCTGCCGTATCCAGGGAGGTGAGAAGCGTTGCCAGGCTGCAACCCGTCCCTCTATTTACGTGAAGCGAGTGGCGCTGACCCCTATTGTCCAGCGCAGAGCCCGTCCCCGCCAGCCGTGCCCACAGAGCAGACATGGGCCACGGGCTTACGGTGTTCTCACAGCGGGTGTTCTGGAGCGTTTCTAGTGCAAGCCTCAGCCTCCCGCTGAGCTCGCCGTGTTGGGGGACACTAATGCATGACCCAAGACTCTTAGTGATCGCTGCCTGATCTCTCGCTCTCTCCATCTACATCTCTGTCTTTCCCTCTCTCCCCTCCCCCCATCTCTCGGCTTCACCCTCATCCCCACCCCTCTGTGAGACACAGAGATTACAGGCTGCGGTGGTGACACCTGAGTGTCCTATTCAGCCTCCTATAAAAGGCATGCAAATAGAGCACTCGACATTTGGTGTGCCTCTCTTCCCTAGGGGACATGTTAGGAGTGTTAGGAATGCTAACTGATGGCGTGGCCGTTGGGCTGTTTTTCAGAAGAAGAAGGGCAAAGAGGCGCCAAGGTGCCCGTCTTCTCTGCCAATGTCGGAGCCCATTTTGGGGAGTCGGAGAGCTCTCGCCCATTCACCCACCTCCCCAGGGCAAAGGCTCAAGACCAAGCCCAGGCCTGGGGGGGCCAGGAAGGAGGTAAGCACACTTGAGAGTAAAATACATGGCAAGACTTAGGGCTGATTTGCTTTTCAACTCTGGTCACACTTCAAATAATTATTTAATTAAATGGTATTTTTTTATACATACTGGGGGAAGCAGAATAAAGTAATCCACTGGTCAGGCTGTAAGGTACCATCTCTCAAATGGCGGGTTGTGGAGTGTGTGTGTGTGTGTGTGTGTATACACACACATATAGTTTTATTCTCTCATTTTGTCTTTGTAGTAACTGCACTATTTTTTTCTTTTTTTACCGAATAAATTTTCATTCAAAATTTTTTTAATTTGGGCCATAAATTAATGACCAAGGAAATGTGGGCCCTGAGACACAACCGGCGGAGAACTTCTGCTGTAAGGGATAATGAGATGGAGGCACTGTTTTTAATGGTCATTTGTCATATATTTTACCCCCAAAATGAGGTGTTTTGTATTTGTAAAATATGCTGTGCTTGTTACACCTCTCCCACAGGGGCTCTTGTAGTCACACATTTCTGTGGATACTTTCTTAATGCTGTAACATGCTAATATGCAGAATTAGCTTATTGATATTTGTGTCGCACCTCAGATACGCGGCAAGGGTGGGGCAGTCAGCAAGCTCATGGAGAGCATGGCAGCGGACGAGGACTTTGAGCCCAATCAGGACAGCAGCTTCTCTGAGGATGACGGCCCCGCCCACTGCCAGCGACCTGGCACCCCACGTAAGCCACACACGCAATCAATCAGCAGGGATTAATCATTAATAGATGCATTTTATTACTGTTTATGTAGAAAATTTCCAGTCATTTCAAATATGCTGAATTTTTTATTATTATTATTATTTAGCAGAATCATTAAAATCCACCTCACCTGAAATTCATTTGCTCTAGTCTGCCTCTCATTTTGCAGTGAATCATATTTAATGTGTATCAGTTTAAAAAACACAAGTATGGATCATCAGATTTCATCTCACTTTCACAGAGGGGATGTAGCCAAATAAGACCATGTTCTGTTTCTTACCCATTGTCTCCTCTGCTGCCTTAAATGTCTTAAAGGGACTAATCTGATTTTTCACGTAAGAACTGATCAAAGAAGTTACAGTGCAAAGAGAGCTGATTCTCTGTCATCCTCAGCCATCCCTTAGCTATCACCCAGGCCATGTTCCATGCTAAACACACAACGACGTGGTTTGTGCAAATCTACCGTGTGCAAATCATCTTTCCGATTCGCAGTGCGACCTGAGTCACCTGCTCTCCCTTTTAGAGTGTTTCTTAACAGCAACCTACAAAACAGACATAGCGCTGCCCTGATGAACGCCCAAAAAAAGCCATAGAAGTCCTCTTTTTTCCACCAATTCTTCCCGAGGATGAGATGGGAATTCTAGGGGCACATTTGTGGGCTTAATCGTTGACCACCGCGCCCCTGTTTCTCTGCCTGACTGTGGGAACGTGGCCTTGTGTTGCAGCCCCCCGGAGCTGTGTGATTGACAAGGACGAACTCAAAGATGGACTGAGGGTCCTCATCCCCATGGACGACAAGCTGCTCTATGCCGGCCATGTCAACACTGTTCACTCCCCAGACATGTAAGGCCTCCACAAATTGCCACAAACGTCAAAGCAGCTTGTTAGCCGTCTTCCTCTTTCAGCGCGTCTGACATTGTGTTAGCGAGACGGCTTCAGGCTGCCAGGAAAATCAGCGGCGTGATACTCTTACACTCTAACTGTGGGCTTTTGTGCAGAAACCGGGGGGGAAAGGAAAAGGGGGAGAGAGAAAACTTCGGCCTTTGATCATGTGAAAGTTAAAAGAAGCGAAAGGCCCTTGCATATTAATCGGACGTCCAGGAGGAAATACCGCCATTTGCTTTGTCGCTGTATGATTTTGAACACAGACACACAAAATGATCAACACACTTTACTTATTCTTTAAGATAGCAAAATGCAGAAAGATTCCTTTGGTGCCATTACTTAGTTATTGTCACGCTGGGATGAAATATATATTTTATTTCCCCCGAAACGGTCGTGGTTAGCGCGCGGCTAGTGCCTCTGATCCACCTTCACCTTGACTCGCCTCCCTGTTCACTGCTAAACACAATGTCCCCCTGGTGAACTGTGGAGCGGTCTGCGCTTTTCAGTCAGCAGCTCCGGTAGGAAGGCGTCTCGCAGCGGCTTCCTGGCCCAGGTTCAGCTTAGCTCTTGGCTCGCGTTGGGGACGCTGCTGTTATAACCAACATTTGGAGAGTCTGTCTTGGCTTCAGTGAGCGCTAGCTAAAAAAAAGAGGGACTATGTGAGTGGTCTCAGAACCCGTCCAAGAAAGTATCGATGGCTTTAATGTTCACGAGCTACTAAAACCACATTTGTGCAGTTCGGAATAAAGCAATTTAACTGAAAGTCAATCCGGAAGGAGCTGCAAGGCAGTTTGAAAATTGTAATATTTTGACAATATGCTGTCCTGAAGCAGTCAACACCAGAATTTTCAGCAGGTGGTATCTGTAGTTTCTGCTTTTGGCAACTTTCCATCATATCATGGGCTCAGTAAATTTTGGACACAATCAATTGTCATATGCAACAGAAACTTAACATCAGTTTTAAGGCATCATGGCAAACAGTTTTTGTTGATATTCACACTTGGAAATTTAAGTTTTGACCAACACAGTCGTCTCATTCCGCTGATAAACATACGGTTCCGTTCAGAACGGCATATCTTGCGAGGCTTTTTGTTTGCAGAGGATTAAATTGTGCGGCGCTCCCCATTGTTGGCCGCTGTGATTTCCACACCATTTCTCATTTTGTTGTGGCATAAAGGCCTTCTCCCACCCTGTAAGGGTCCTTTGTCTAAGGATGTATTGGTTTCCCAGTCCCTAACCCCAAAGCTTTGCGATGGAAGCTTTAGCATCACAGTGAAAACCAGTTTTGAAAAGATTTTTAAATATCCGTGCCGAGGGGGGGAAATACAGACTCCAGTCTATATGGACGGCCGAATGGAACAGATTGATTGTTCCCTATCTATTCTCACATTCAAATTCAAATCCATGTTGTACACAACACCTAAATGCATTCAAAGGAGGGAAAATCTGTTCAGTAGTACAACACAGTCTGGTGAATGATTATGATAATGCACAGTGGTATATGTTTGCCCAGGCATCCCCTTGATTAGTTGGAATGATCCTGTAGGGGTGAATGAATTACTCTTCAAGCTATAGAAAGGGATAAAGGAGTAAATATATACAAATTGCTGTCCTGTTAGTCGTCCACAGGGCAGCTTTTAAAAGGGTGGAGAAAAGCAAAAACCCTGGAACTCTAGGGGGTAAAATCCCTACCTTGTCTTTAGTGGCCGCTGTCATAATGGTTTATAAGGTGATTCAGAGGGAGGAACAGGATAGGCTTTAGTTATGTATCGCTCGTGACTGCAGTCATGGCTTGTTAGGGAGTAGCAGCACTCCATCTTTCTCCTTTCAGCGCTTTGCTGTGGTTTTCTTTTTCATGCGCAAAATGATTTTCTCTTTTTTTCTTTCCCTTCACTTTTCCAATGAAAGTGAGCATTAATCTTAATATGATGTTTGTAGTTATCTGTGCGCTCCCAGAAAATTACTACTAATTATGGTGCTTTCGACATTGCCTTAATTCAAAGGTAAACGCAAAATTTTTGAAACACCTCTTGATTTTTGTGTTGTACTGTCATTTTTGCATTGGCAAGAACTGTTTCCCTATAAAATATGAAAAGGGCAGGACCACTTCGTAATGCTAGAATTAGTGCTGTGGACTAATTACTGCACATGTTGTTGCCTTCTTTGCAATGACTTGCGCTCTTATCATGTTATAATCTTGTGAGAGGAAATTGTTTGGATAGTTGTTTGTTCGGCAATCCATGTGCTTCGATATATTTTGTAGCAGATTTGCTTGGACAGTCTTTGCAAGGGGCAGGTGGTATCTTTCAGAGCTGTGTTCGGAATTATATCCCATCTGCCTGTGTTTGTGGTTTAGTTCTGTTTTCATTATTAGAGTCCATATCATGTGTGTCAGGGCCTTCCCAAGTCTGTCATTTCTGTACGTTTCGGGTTGTGAGACCGTAGGATTCTCTTCTTCTCCAGAAGACATCAGACATGCCCAGTACAGTGGACACAGTAAAGGAATGTGCAGGAGAGCTTAAGATGCATTGTGTCAGCTGCTTTTGATAAAGAGCTGTCTGTACAGAGAGAAGACAATGGAGCTGTATTTGTAAAGCTAAACCAGTGTGTTAAATATCACACACCCCACTGATTCTTTTTTTTTTTTTTTACCGTATGGAGGAGATGTGGATCTTTCAGTACCTGATAAACATGAGCGGAGGCTCTACTTAAAGAGCGCTCTGGCTTTTCCCGCGGTTTCTCTGTGGGATGTTACGGTAGACGGCTTTATTGAATGTCTGGCAGGAGAACTCCAGAGACCTGCTTTGAGTAAAGAAGAAGGCATTACAAACAGCCCCCCCCAGGTGTGTCAGTGCTTGTGGTGCGTAAGACCTGCTGAGGATTCACGAGTATTCTCTTCTGAATTAGCCGCACTGCAAACTGACATGACCTTCCCTTAGACAGAAACTCGGCCCTCCGAGAACGGCAAGGTAAATAACCTCTATGTCAGCCAATTGGTCCACAACGAGCTCGACTCGCTGGAGCGAAGCGCCATAGCATTTGCTTTAGGTCCCTCCAGTCGGCGCTCCAGTGGTCTGAAGGACCGGCAGCTTGATGGGATACGATGAGAGCAGCCACTGCAGTTACATGCATTTTATTAAACAGATCAGCTAGGAACTGGGGCAATATATTATGCTTGAGTGCCTGTAATGTTTCATAGCTTCCTAGTTTCACTAATAATTTTAAGCTGGACATTCTTAAACTTTGGGGAGTTCTGCATATTAATGTTCTCAAGCTCTCACTTTGGAAATGCTTCTTATTTAAAGTAAAATGCCAGGATGCAGTCTTTTATGTTATTTTTACAGTATTCATAATTTTGCTCAGTTTGCCAAAAAAGTCAGGTTACAATACTCGGGTCAGTTGAGAACATTTTTGTTTCCTCTTATCTCTGTTTGTTTTTCCATTTTAGTGCATCACCTTAAAGTTGTTATCTATGCGCTATGTAAGACTCCTCTCCTCCCTGAGGAGACACCCTGAACCAGGGCTACCTGCCGAGGTCAGGCGCTGGTGGATATTTTGTCTGAACGCCTGTTCAAGACTGCATTTGCTCCTCAAGGGAGCCTTGAATTAATGCTCGCAGCTTCTTCTAGCTGTCTGGGGGTTACTGTCTCGAATAACAAGATCGAATGAGAGAAAATATCGCCCCTAAGAAAGTGCAATTATGACCTTTTCTCGCTGATCGCGTCTCTTTCCGTGGCCATGGGTCTGCATGTAGAGATTCTCGATGGCGTGCAGAGGTGAGGGTGTATGAGAGAGGGGGTTTGTTTACATGGCTGCGTACCCTCTGGGTGAACTAAGCATTGTGGGCCATGCCTTGCAGATACAGAGTGATGGTGGAGGGCGAGCGAGGAAACAGGCCACACATCTACTGTTTGGAGCAGCTGTTGCAGGAGGCGGTGAGTAACTGCTTTCTGCTGACTAGGGGATCTGCAAGGGCAGCTGGATGCAGTGCAGTATCACTCCAAAGTGATTTTTTTTCCTCCATGAAGGGATTGCATAGGGATGGATGTCTATGTGCATGGTTATAATGTGTATTTATTTTAAAAAATGCAGTTTTTATGTATTCCAGTGTGCCTTATCCATGAATCCCACTAATGCATTAAATTTACGTGCATGTGACTGAAGAGCTATTTCACGAAATGTGTCGCATGTGCAGATTATTGATGTGAAGCCTCCCTCTGTGAGACACCTTCCCGAGGGCACGAGGATCGCCGCCTATTGGAGCCAGCAGTACCGGTGTCTGTACCCTGGCACTGTCGTCCGAGGTAATGTCCCCTTTCTCATAGTCTCACTGTAATGTTAAACAGCCCCACCATGAAGAGCACCGTGGATGTTTAAAGGGTCGGAATGTCCTCACTTTGACTATCACTTATATGTGCTTAGCATGGGGGTGACATGGTAGTGCAGTGGTTAGCGCTGTTGCCTCACATCTCTGGGGCCAGGGTTCGAGTGACTGCCATGGCTCCATGTGTGTGGAGTTTGCATGTTCTCCCCGTGTCGTTGTGGGGTTTCCTCCAGGTACTCCAGTTTCCCCCCACGGTCCAAAAATTAATTGGAGTTAAACACACATGCACAATTTAGTGTGAGTGAATGGTGTGTGAGTGTGCTCTGTGATTGGTTGCTGCCCCATCCTGGGTTGTTCCCTGCCTTGTGCCCATATTCTCCAGACTCCCTACAACCCTGAAAAGGACAAGCAGTTACAAAAAATGGATGGAAGGATAAGCTTAGCACTAGCTAATACATACAACAGTAGCAGCTGGTGGATGGTGCATCTTCAGGGTTCAAAGGTCATCCACAGTGAACTTGTACTGAACCTTCAAGCTAATTTAACATTTAAATATCCATAATTAATTCTGAGATTCGATTTAATACAGTTAAAATGTATCTAAACATTGCTGGTGTTTGTCGCTTCCTCCTGTTAAAATGTGAAAACATTTTTACCATATTGGCCCAAATATAAGACGACCCCCCACTTTTTGGCAACTATTTTTAGAAAAAATGTTTTTGGAATACCTGATCTTACCTTTATAAAGAAAAATAATTTTATTTGAACATATATAAAGTTACCCAGCAATCACACCTTAAAAAGCAACCACAGACAATCAGATATCAGTAAGTGTATTAAACAGCAAGCATTACAGAAAACAATTGTATTATGGAGGGGGGGGGCACATGAAAAGGGCAAAAAAAACATATTGCGGAGAAAGGTTGAGCCATATTAATGATATAGCAGCTCTTTTAAAATGAATGTTACTACAATATTCTTACTTGACCAGTGGTTGGATATAAATTGATCTGTCATTTATGAAAAACTAAAACTATATTATGATCCAGAAGTGAAACCTCATTAGCTAGGCAAGGTGACATGTGGTAGGAATAATATTTGTAAGTGCCCCATGGATTTTCGTGTAAACTAATTATTAAAACTGGTTGATTAAATTTTAGTTGTTCCAAAGGCCATGCATTGTATTATTTTAGACTACAGGGAGGAAAAAGGCTAAATGAATTCCTTAATACAATGGGTTCTGTAAGTCACTGTTGGGCACTTTATCTATGGCACCATTAGGAGGGGAAGAGAGTTTTTCCTCCTAATGAGGATGGTGTTTCCAAAAGATCGTCTCTTACTGTGGTCATGGGACTAGAACTAATGCTGATTGGACAGGAACTCATTGGGATCAGAGAGGAAACTGGGCTGCAAAAGCTTCTTTTGGAAAATCAGTTAAAACTCTCCACTGGGAGAGCATCTGACATGAAACAGACTCTGCTGAGATCCTCTGTGGGCCCTGCTTCGCTTTTCGACAGAATGGGGCAAAGTCGGCCTTCAAGATCCTATAATAAGCAAGTTTAGTATTGGAGAGTAAATGAATGTTATTATACTGCAGAGGTGAAATTGCAGACAAGCTGGCAAAAGTAATAGTTTCTCTCTAAGGTAGGTGACACATTGGCTCAGTGTGTATGTGCAGTTAGCATGTTCTCCTTGTATTGAAAGAATAAGAGCATTTGGACTAATTGGAATCTCTAAATCGTGCATAGAGTATGACATATGATGGTATCTGCGGGCCCTGTGGTGAAGTTGTGTCCTATTCAGAGTGCACCTCTGGCTTCTGCCATATGTGGTGATGGATGGATGGATGGATGGATGGATGGTTCTAAGCCTTCTCTCGTTTTGTGATTTCAGGAAATTCTGATATAGATGCAGAGGATGACTTGATAACAGTTGAGTTTGACGATGGTGATACAGGACGAATTCCCTTGTCGCACATCAGGTTGCTTCCTCCCAACTACAAGATACAATGTGGGTATTATGTTAAGGAATACTAATTAGGATTTAATAGAAAAATAGTAAAAGTATGAATAGAAACTTTTCTTGAAATATCAATATAATTTTAAGCAAATTCAGAATGAACATCAGTGTTTTATTTAGATTATGTCCAGGTGATATTCTGTTTAGTGAAATTCGCATTTGATAATGAACACAGGTATCTGTCAATTTCTATCTATTTCTCCCTTATAACTATCAAGATATGCCCAAATTGACTTGCGTCTGGTTGTCCCATTCCCAAATGCGGACCCAAGTCAACAGATACCTATACTGCAAACATATTGTTTGTTTAATAATTTCAAGTTTAAATGTCCCAAGATTATTTATCAATCTGAGGTGAATCGTTCTGATTATGAACACGTAAAATGGCCTGTTCTAACCCCCGAATGCTTAACACTCCACAGGTGCTGAGCCCTCTCCTGCTCTCCTGGTGCCCAGCACAAAAAAGCGAGGCAGGAAGTCCAGTAAGGATGTGTCTGAGAACCAGGAGTCGACCCCACAGACCCCCGAGGAACGTGCTCCAAAACCCCGGGGCCGAAAACCCAAACTAAAGCCTGGTAATTTAACATGCCCAATTAGGTCACTAATTACGAGGTTCTGTGGACCCGTTCAGCATTTGATTTCTATGCCATAGTCTGAGTTTTTATGCTTTTTACAAACTCCTCAGCCATAACATTAAAACCACTATCTAACTATAGTGGCATTTGTCAAGGGTACAGTTATGTATTAGCCAAGTGAACAGTCAGTTCTTGAAGTTGAGTTAGAAGGATCTGAGCAACTTTGACAAGGGCTACTTTGTGATGACTAGATGTCTGGATCAGAGAATCTCCAAAATGGCAGTTCACGTGGGGTGTTCTGGGTATTCAGTGGTCATACTTACCAAAAGTGGTCCAAGACAGGCCAACTGGTGAACCTCCCAAGGGGTCATGGGCACCAAAGGCTCACTAATGCATGTAAGGAGTGAAAGCTAGCTTGTCTGGTCTGATTCCACAGGAGAGCTACTGTAGCACATATTGCTGAATTAATGCTGGCTCTGATAGAAAGGTGTCAGAACACACAGTGCATCTCAGGTTGTGGTAGGGGCTGTACAGCCACAGACCAGTCAGAGTGCCCATGCACCGTAAAAGGTCTTGTGGAGTTCATGCCTCGATGCGTCAGAGCTGTTTTGGCAGCACTTCGGGGACTTACTCAGTATTAGAGAGTTGGATTTAATGCTATGGCTGATCAGTGTACCTCCAATCATGTTAGTTAATAAACACATTCATGATAGAAAAGGAATTTATTGCGGAATCATCAATACTTAATATATAAACCCATGCATGCTTACAGCACCTGATGACAGTCAAGAGGATCATACAGAGCGGGAAAGTCCTACCTCTCCTCAGACATCCACAGAGAGCCCCCTGTCCTCCTCAAGAACAGGGCCATTACTTGAAAGAAAATTCCAGCAGGTCAGCTCCACTGGCTCCTCAATTGCAGGGGCTAATGACACTCACAATAAAAGCATCAAGACCTCAGCTAAAGTCGCCTCTCAGGTGAAGGTGCCCTACACATGCCCGCTCTATGGTAAAGTTCTTTCAGTTGACATCTACAATGAGCCATCTGGGTCACAGGGTTCGGTCATTTTGAATGACAGCAGCAACCCAGGAAATGTGAAACTAGGAAAGAAAGGAAAGAAAAGTGGGGAACACCAAGAAACGAGTCTAGAAGCAAAAACGCAGAGAGAATCTTCAGAGATTCTCATCAAGCTGGATCACGAAGGGGTCATGTCGCCTAAAACGAAAAAGACAAAAGCCTTGATGATGATGGAAGACGCCGCTCTCTCTGGTCGGGAAAACAAGGCCGTCATGGGTGTCGCTTACTCAACAGGCCTGCCGGGAGATGGCATACAGCGAACACTTAGTACCAAAACGTCAGAGAAGGAGAGCCTGAAGACAGATTCAGTGGGCACCTGTAACACTGCTGTGCTGGGAAGCAATGAGGACATGCTGGCTAAAGTGAAGAACTCCCAGCTAAAAGGGGAGGCCACGCCAAACAGCACCATGAGCGGCTCGGAATTAGTTGAGCAGGTCCGAGAAAGGGGAAGTCAAGACCATGACAGATCCACCAGCTCCAGGACGTCCAGTCCAGTCTCCTCCAAATCCTCCCACTCCTCCACCAGCAGTTCGTCATCCTCCTCTACTGCATCTTCCTGCTCTTCTTCTTCCTCCTCATCGTCCTCTTCCTCGTCCTCCTCATCCACAACGTCAGACGATTCCTCTTGCAGCTCCGACGAGGAGACTGCTGTCTTGCCACAGATGTCTCCCACAACCCAAAAATCTCACCAAAAATCAGAGGACAAGCTGCCCAAACAGTTCCAGGAGTCAAGTCTTACTCCACACAAGGGCCAGGAGAGGAAGAAGAAGCAGCAGCAGAAGCAGCCTCAAGGAAAGAGCCGTCCCAAAAAACGAGAGGGCATACATTTGCCCACCACCAAGGAGCTGGCAAAGCGGCAAAGGCTGCCTTCGGTAGAGAACCGGCCCAAAATTGCTGCTTTTCTCCCAGCCAGACAACTGTGGAAGTGGTATGGCAAACCCACGCAGGTGAGAATCATTTTCAAAAGCAGAAATCGCTTTATTCCTCCATTAATGACTCATGGGGAAAAAAAAATAACAATGACATCTTAAATCCGCAACACCTGTTTTTCAGAGGCGAGGCATGAAGGGAAAAGCCAAGAAGTTATTTTACAAAGCTATCATGCGTGGGAAGGAGATGATTCAAATTGGAGACTGCGCAGTGTTCCTGTCTGCAGGACGTCCCAATCTGCCTTATATAGGCTGCATCCAGAGCATGTGGGAATCCTGGGGGAATAACATGGTCGTCAGAGTGAAATGGTTTTACCATCCAGAAGAAACAAACCCTGGCAAGAAGTTTCATGATAGAAAGGTTTGCTGCCTAATATAATCTCAATCTGTTTATGAGGTTTAGTCATACTGAATTATATACCCTTAAAAATAGTCTTATGGAAATGAAATGTGAGATGAGTATCTCTGCTTATGTTGTAACTGTAAATACCCCCTGCATGTGTGATTTTATAGGGCATGTATATAGAGATCCTGTTGACTGCTATTATGGCTTTTGTAATTTGTCATATCAATATAAACATAACATTTTACTGTTACCGTATCTTGCCAGAACTGGAATCAGAAATCTGCAAAGGGACTACCAGCCACTCTACAAGCCTCCAATCAGAGGAAGGATTTTATGGAGGTGAGAAATTACTTATTATTACTACGTGATAACCACTTAAAGATGAATTTGTGTATTAAGAATTGAAATGGTTCTTTTTCTACTTCAGCGTGCTCTCTACCAGTCCTCCCACATCGATGAAAATGATGTACAGACTGTTTCTCACAAGTGTCTAGTAGTCAGTTTGGAACAATATGAACAGATGATTAAAACAAAGAAGTACCAAGACCGCGAGGATCTCTACTACCTGGCTGGTACCTATGAGCCCACTACTGGGATGATCTTCAACACAAATGGTGTTCCGATCATCTGCTGAAGACCCCTCTCTCTCATGCCTCAGAGTGCCCTAATTTCTGATCTTCCACACTGCAGTAAACACGATTCAAACCAGCTGCCTGTTAAAGGTCATAGTTAAATTCACACGCTGCAGATGATTGGTGACAGCGAGCAGTAGCACAGAGAGTGTGCTCCCTCTCAAATGATGGTGTCAAATGCTTCAGTGTATCTGACATGCCCTGAGGACATATCTTCCTCTAGGTTAATAACTAATCCCGAGAGACTTGGAACTTAGACGGCCGAAACAAAATTAATCCAATGGCAGCTCATAATATAAATATATTGACTTGGATGTCTTTGAGGGCATACTGATATTCAGGTGCCAAATCTGGAAACTTGTCAAGGAAGATGTCTTTAACCATTTTACGAAGTGAAGAAGACATTGATTAGTAGCTTTCCTGGAAAGCCGTGATCTTCCAGTGAGCGTGAAACTTGGCATCGTGGACTGAGTGTCAGAAACGTCTGTGGGGCAAAGGTAGTTTCACAGCTGGGGTTCTTATGTCTGCAGCAGTATGGCACCGCCAGCCAAAGACATCATCGCCACCATTGGCTCCAATACCAGCAGGACTTAAATTACAGATGATACCACTGGAAGGTTTGCTTATAATAATCCTCAGGCATATCTGTATCCCAGTGTCCAGCACAGAAACCAACCATTCAGAGATGACAGTATGTGTTCAACAGGGAAAACAGACCTATCAGGCAAATGCGACGCTACCGTCATCGTCTCTCAACCTGCTGGGAACATAACGTGGTGCTTTAACAAATAAGGGGTTTCTCACCCATGTTGACAAGATGCCTCACCTTGACTTTCTGCCACCGACCACTTTTCTGTGTCACAACATTAGTCTGACATTTGAAGCCAGGGCAAGACTCTTGAAACAAGCATGAAATACAAAGAGAAATGTTAGGCTTCTTTTAACCTTTGAGTACCATGCAGCTGAGCAGACGTTTTTGAGCCGTGCGTAGTTTGTTGCTTATATTCTTTGGGATGTACATTTACAACAATTTCTACACTGGCTTATCCAGCTTTATCAGTAAGCAAATGCTGGTCTATTAAGCAACTTACTTAAACATGGGAAGACACCAACCGCCTTCCCAACAAATCCTAAGGCTTAAATAGAGTTTAAGGGATCCCAAAATGTTGTGTATACTTCATGCTATAGCTATAAATGGAATGCATTTATTAAATGTATTCTTGTAATTTTTTAACTGTTTTTAGAATGGAAAAGCTTTATAAAACTGTGAATATGGTCTGGGGAAAAAAATGGAATATGAAACTGCGGAATATACTATTCTAACTAAGTTTGCATTGAGAGCACACAAACTGTATGTGCTAGCTAATTGTTTCACAGAACAACGGGGCACAAGAAAGAATGTTCCGGAATACTTAAACAGTGTTGGAGTCTGCTTTGAATGACAAGAATGTACAACAAAGAGCACTTATTCATTGCCCATGGCTTTGTCAATGACAATTCATCTGACAATCGGGAGCGGAGGAACACTGAATGTGTGGCGACTGTTATCTTCTGTGGAAGCTGTTATTAGTAAGATGGGATTCACGCTTTGGGCATCTGCCCTGTCTTCACTGGCAGAGTCTGCTTCAGTCCTACATGACTTGCTTTCCCTATTAGTATTACACGATGCCACCAATACATTTTATTTGGTGTTTAATGGCACTTTTGAGTAACAGCTCAGGAACCTGAGTAGCATTCGGAAATACCAAAATCCCTGGTGTTTGAGATTAAAAACATAATGCATGATATTGAATTGGGAACTTGGTCAATTCCATCTTTTTTTTTTTGTAAAATGTAAAAAATTCTGTTGCCTTGTGCATGTTCCAGAGCACTTCAAAGTCTATCTTAGATTTTGTCATTAGCAAGGTGAACCAGATATATTGCTATATAAAAGCCTTTCCTGTGAGAGCCTATAACAGTGTAAACATATTGCTAAATGTTGCTTATTGTAAATGTTACCCTTATTTGTAAGCTGTATTTCAATCCAAAGACCCAAAGGCCTCACTCCCCAGAAACGTTTGTACTACTCAGTTTCTTTAAATGCTACACTTCAAATGAAGACCAATCACTTTATTTTTCAACTCTTCACAGTAGTGTGTCTTTTAGTTCTGCGTTTTCCATTGTGCCTGGTTGTATGGAATTGTTTCAATGGTGATTTGATTTTAACATTTTCCGAATCAAAATGCAAGTCTTACAAGTTGATATAGAGCAGTAAATCCATTTTAAATGCTTGGACCATAGAAACTGCATACCTATTTAGGATTCATAAGGGGATACCTCAGAGATCGAAATGCAGCAATAATTTAAATTGCCATCACACTAGCCATGAGATACAGCACTTACGTAATCTCTGGAATCAGTGCTTCAGCATTTTTAAAATTTGTGGTTTTTTTTAATTCATGACTTTGCCATGCTATGCTACAAATGATGTGTATATTAAATCTAGTGCTATATTTACTTGTTTTCTCTTGCTCACCCCCCCCTCAAAAGGCACTGAATCATGACCTGGCTACTGCATTTTCACATTTCCCGTTTACATGTAAAGCCTTTTTTCTTGATTTTTTTTTGTTCCCAGCTTAAGTTCTCCTGGAAGATGTTTGCTGAAAGACAGAGGCCAGCTTTAACTCTAATTTAATTAAAACAGAACAGCAACCATCCTGGAATTTAAAGGGACTTTTTAGAAGTTGCGGTATCAGGCACTAAAGCCACGGACAGGCAGCCCCAGTAACTCCTTTCCCAAGCTCCTAAATAGTTGCTCTACTTGGGTGCAGCTTCACTGCAGGCTTCTGGGGGCATTTTATGTGGGTCCAAGCATTTGAAGAGCTCCCCCGTTACCCAGGATATTTTCTTTACACAAACACACATCCAGCCCAGCCTAATAATAAAAGGAACTCTGGCCATGGTACATTTCTATAATCTTATAAATTCAAGACAATGCGTGAGAAAAGGGTAGCCTACATGTTACCGGTCAAATGTTTTTACTTTTCATTTTCAACATGGATTTGTTTTGCCTTTCAATGTATTTGATAGCTTGTTTGTACACGAGTTGGATTTCATTTTATTAAATGATTTTTTTTATTATTTATTTTCCCCCCTGTTTTTAGTATCTATTTTACTTTACACCCACACAGAAAAATAGTTTTCAGTGTAACGTATTAATGTGCAATACTGCTGACTGGGTCCCCAGAGGTGGCTACTAGTGGAAAGGCACGGAAGGATGTAAGAATGTGTAAAAGGATGTAGACTGGAGGCTGGTCCTTCACTGGTCTTCGATCCATTGTTCTTTCAGTGTCAAAGTGCTGCACAGAGGACTGTTACAAGACAATTGTAAAAAGGCTTATTGTGAAATTCTAAATCAATTTAGGTGTTTTGTAGAGTCATTTCAGAAGGAATGTTTTTTTTGTTTTTTTACTTTATACAAACATTTACCCATGTGTATAAAGAGTCAAGCAAATAAAAAAACACAGACAAAAAGGCTTTGCTTTATGTACCATACATACATACATTTTATGCGCAAGTTGTCATGGCTTTAACAAAGTTTCAATGTTTTCAACAACTGACAAGTTTATTGAATTTTACTTATTGATAGCTAGATAACTTCAAAGCTATAGTTAAGGTAGACCTACAATGATTTTTATTTTATTTTTCATTTAGCAGATGAGGAATGTTTAGGGATGGAAAGCAGAGAGAGTCAGCATCCAACACCGTTGGAGCACTTAGGTCGAGGGCCTTGCTCAAGGGCCCAGCAGTGATTTCATTACTATGCGTATTATTCAAATGGATCCCTAAGCCATTAAGCTACACAGTGTAACTTTTCTGTGGACTTGCTACATAGTTAACATGTAGCACGATACTGATGTGGGGATGGGGGGCAGGAAAAGTGTTTATACCATTTTTTATGGTGTACAGGTCACAAGGCACCTTACGGTTCTGGATGGAGGACACTGGAAATAGCACAATAACCTTGAAACCTTGAGTCAGTGTGCAGTGAGTTTCTCCTTTGAAATTTTCTGGAATTGCGCATTGTACAAAAACATGAATCATCCACCACCCGTTTTAATTAGCTATAAATGCAAATTACAAAATGTCAACGTAAGTTTTCCTTATTTTGAACAGAGAAACTCGCAGCTACAATATAGTAATGCTTAGATGTAAGGAAATACAGACATGTTTACTTGAATCACTGACTCATAAGTAAAGCATGTAATAGCTATGGTAAGCAACTGAGTAAAGCTGTTTTATGTTTTTATAAGTTCATATTGTACAAAGGACACCTGCTTTAAAACTAGCTGCTCTTTTTAGCTCCACTGAATTTTCCCCATATTTTTCCAGAGACTAAGAACTATACTATAAACTTCACAGTATTCCATTATGTAGCCAATATGGATATCATATGCACATTCTTTAAAGCTTTATGTGCATGACCTATTTACTAGACATTATAAAAATATTACCACTAACTTTATTCTAGTCCAAAAGCATATTATCATACAAACAGACTGATACTTCAAATATATTTTGTAACTCGACCAAAAATTTTATGGGGAACCAGATGGATAGAAACACCTAAACTTTTTGCGCCACATTAAAACATTTCTGAAAACATGCTATCACATATTTAAATTATGCTGGTGTGTGAAGTATTTTGAAGTAAATGGCTTGGTGTACATTAGAAGTACATGGATAACGGTTTCAAAAATTAAACCACAAACTAAACAAATTTATTTTGGCTGACAGTGCTACATATGTACAGTGAAATAAAAATTCCCCATATATCCCCACTGGGAAATTTAGTAAAAATAAAAAATAAAAAAATTAAAATAGTGATTGTCAAATTTCCACATATTACGCACACCATCCATTCTCCATTCATCCAATAACTATTCATACGCCATATAACAAACCCCATACGGTCAGAAAAGAATTAATGAAACAGAGTACGTCTGAAAATCTAGTCATCCGCCCATTCATTCAGCATACTGCAAGAACACAGATGTTCAACAGTCAAAATCAGAAAATCAACAGAAATAATAGCTGTTTGAAGTGCTAAGACCAAGAGGATAGTACATTTTGGGAAAAAACATAAAGAGAAAGGGAAAAAAAAATGGATCCGATCACTGAAGCAGTTAATTAAACTCACAGCGTGATGGATTCAGCCTCACTGGATTAGGCTCTTTCTGCTTTCCTTTCTCAACTCCCACAAGAAACACTCTCAAAGAGACAGATACGTTCGCTTCACTTTGACGGCAGACCCGTATACTGCACCAAACATAGTCAGAATATGACAACGTACTCCTCAAAGGGTTCTCAACGCCGAGCCATTCATGACCAAGAGTGACACGCCACAATCCCCGTCTTTATCATGCATCCAGGTAAGTTTCTATTGCCCATCACAAGCTGCTGATTTGCTGGCATTTGCTGTGTTACACAAGCTTCTGAAGTTTGACATTGGCACCGACTGAAAATCATGGGTACGGAGCAGTAGGACGAAACACAGAAAACAACTCATGCCAAGGACCTGAAAAGCCAAAAGGACGAGTGCTTCAATCCACAGGCATTAATGTGCAAGGTAAAAGTAAAATCAAAGAGAGAAAGGGATTTCCAGCTCCATGCGAGGGAATATTTTGAGAGCCTGGTGATTGCTGTGACATTAGCAGAGTCTATGATCATCTATAGCATATAAAATCCTCCATGATTGCAAAAGAGCACCAGCTGAGAGAAGACGGAATGGGAGCAAATGGAATCTCAACATATTTTTTTCCCCTCCCTCCCTTCCACCATTAGGTTGCTATTCAGGAATTACAGCTGCTCAATAGAAAAATCGACAATCGGTTCCATTTGCTGCGGGGGAGAAATCAAAAGGTGGCAGCTCTGATCAGGAAAGGTCCTTACTTTCCCCTCAGTCACGGCCCTTTCAAGACGACTCTGACGTACCCAGGCCAGAGGATGAGAAGTAATGAGACTGTAATAGCAGACCTCCGCAGAGACCAGACTGGCAGCACAAATTCACAGTCAGCGGGAGCTTTCCATTTCCTCTGCAAGAAAAAGCACGGGGGGGATACGCTCCTAAAACTGGGTCATTTAACTGTGATTGGGCCACACTGTAAACATCACCGTCAAAGAGCTGACAATATCACAGATGGAAATCCAAAGGTGACACAACTACTCAAATAGAGACTTCAAACTGGGAAAGAGAGTAGGGTAGAGAGTGTGAAAATGGGGTCAGAGCTTGCAGAACTTAAGACTACACTAAATACACTTTAAATAACTGATTTATACAGAGATTTGCAAGGGTTTGCCCCTTTTCCTGAACAATTCTTATGCAGAACCTCACTTGAGCATTTTGACTTTGAGGTTGGAGCACATCTTCAGCTGGTGGTTAAGTCCCTTGAAGTCACTCCTTTGTGCTAACAAATGGAGACGAGGGACAAACAGTGACAACTACCACCATAGCTGTGGCGGGTCCTCAGCCACGCGGCTCTTGAACAGCGTGATCTCGTCCAGGTGCAGGAGGGGCATCTCTCTGATGATTAGAGCCAGGTCTTCATGTAGCAAGGGGTAGATGACGACGTTGAGCGCCGGACGCTCCGACGAAAACCTTCATAACCAGAGAGAGTGAGATGGACAATGAAAGAGATGGTCAGTAGAGGGCATCCCAGAAATAGGGCAAGCCAAGTAAAAAATTCTCTGGAAGTAAAAGAAGTAAATGGTTGATCATACTCTACAATGGTACTCAAGGACAAAAGCCTCCAATTCATGGACACTGAGTTATGTTTAGAAATAGCTAAATCGGTGACGTACTTTAAAACCCTAAAATGACGATATGCAAATTCACTCCACTACAAAATGCCACCAACATACAGGACCCATCATTATCCATTTACTTAAATAACGGTATTTTAAAACGCCATTGGCCGTAAAGCTATTTTCAATCAATTATTTTAAAAGCCCAAGGAGAACAGCATGCAAGGAGCAAAGAGATGAAACCATTGTAAGTATCAGAAAGCTACTAATACAAAACTTTCAGCTTGACTGAGTGAATGAATTTATTTGCAAATGAAAGCACAAGCACACCTCTCTGAGGCGACAGGCCGCTCTAATCACGAGTTCTCAAGAACCCTTCACTTGAAACCAATTCAACACGCTTAATAGGTTACCTTTTGAAACACACTTATGTGGGAGGAAGGAGACAAGCCTTTGATGTTGGGCATCCAAAGATATTCTAAAGCTTCTCAGTCTCTCCCATGCACCTGGTCAGGTGGCGTCAGTTAAAATGAGTTCATGTCCGAGCTGTAAAGGGCCTTCCAATCATTCAAGATGAGTTTTCCCATCGTCAGTGACCATCCCACACTGTTTAAGCAATGATGACAGATACATGTATCAGAATGAAACATTCAGTGTACATCAAGTAGACATTCCAGCTAACCGTTTTTGTCTGGACATTATTCATGCGACAGGCTCTGTTCTCTGTAATGACTTTTAACCATTAGGGGGCACAGAGAAGGTGAGAGAAACAAATTCCAATGTATTGCTTCACATAACGACGAAGCAACGCGCGAGGCAAAGACAGCGCATCAGCCAAGAGCCAGCCAGTCTTCTGTAACATGCTCGGAGTAGCCGAGGGGATGTAATTCCGCAAGACTTCGAAATCGCGGTTGCCGGCTTTCGTAATGGGACCGGTAACATGAGGACGCGGCAGCCTCGCACGGTCAATGAAATGCGGCAAAGCTAACTCAGCTCGCTTGAGCTGATTAACTAAAACCTCCTTACGTTTTCCATATACTAGTGGTCTCCAGAGATGGATTAATGATCAATTGCCATAAATAAACAAACAAATGGACCTTTATGCCTCACCCCCCACCATTCATTACGTGACAATGTCGGACTAGTCTTTACTTTAATAAAAAACAACACATGCACTTTAAAATCCTTTCAAGAATGTGAAAATAAGACCAGAAAACATCAGAGCGGTGATGTGATGATGGCAGTGGCAACAGATGAGTGGAGCATCTGTATAACCCAGAAGTTTCTGCTGAAATGAGTCATCTGATTTACGAACAATGTAATTCAGCTCCCTCTAATAAACAGCAGAGCACTTTGACTGCCATAAAAATGCCCCCAACTGCTGACACTTCCAACCCTCAATTTCTTTTCAAAAATAGCTGAGCCATGTTTAATAGGGTGAATAAAGCAAAGTGGCAATCAGACATAATCGGGCACTAATAGAGATGGCTTCGGTTCTGGGAAATTAGAGCCTGAACCTTCGGGTGAAGGAAAAACTGTAGGGGATCATTCAACGCTAAGGCGAGGTCCAGACGTCCCCAAGCAGCAGTCCTCAGGTAGCCGGGATATGTGGGCACGGGTGGTAGCCAGCTACGCTCTGCTCTGCTACACCCATCTCTTCCCCCCAAGCTGCTGAGAGTCCCTGGACTGACTGCATGTGACACTCAGGACAGGGACAAAAAAAAAAAAGGTCTTTCATTTGGTAGTTTTCATTTTGTCCTATTCCCCTGGCTCTCCGGTATCAAACCGCAGAGTCAAAAATTTGCTGAGCAGAGGACGAGATCGTGGCGCAGGGTAATCGACCGTGTCTGAAGAAAAGCCGCAGACTTATGGCCGAATGGCTTTCAGGCTCCTCCGACTGCTTTTCATTCTTCCACTGCTGTGATTATTTTAAATCTTTACACAACACTGCAACTAATGAATAAACATGTTTTTTTAATTATCATCATCATTATTATTATTAATAGAGTTCAATGTGAAGTCGTAGCAGTGGACTGCTGACACGACCAAGTCACGTTTATGGCCGCCTAGATGTAACAGCGTACAAATGCGTCTCCACTGCTCGTTGCCCTTTAGCCTCCCACTCTGGTCCCTCACGCCTCTCCACCTCCAAGACCTCCGAGCGTGAAAAGCCAAAAGGACGAGTGCCAAAAGTAAAGCTACGTGGAGGAACCACGTAAATATTTGACCGCTGAGACAGGGGGTGGTTTATTTCTTTGGAGCTGGGGCGTGGAGAACGGCTCCCATGGCGAGCGGCACGCAGACAGAGGAGCGGCGATTCAGTTCGTATGTGTGCGCGGTCCCACTCCGGACCAGAATGTCGTCCCTCGCTAGGTCAACACCATACATCACGGCGGCGGCAGAAACAGCTGGGTCATTAGGGTGCACCAGGAGAATTTGTCAGTGTAGGTCACGGTTAATTTCGGTCTCCTAACCTCAGGCAATTTTAAACTCAAGCCAGGTTTGGAAAATCATCAACAATATAAGCAAGAATATTTTTCGCAGCTTTATGAATGGAAAGAGAAAAAAAAAAATGCAAATAAGTAAATGTCAAATTGAATCCTTATGGATTAAATATACAAAATTACAAATATGTAAAAATATATTTTTTATAAAAGTAGGAAATAATCATAAAATAGTACTCTGAAACGATTGTATATTGGCTTAAATACTAAGACAAGAGCATAAAAGAACAGAAAAATATGGCCATTTATGTACTGTTACAGCTCCCAGTTTTGTGTCTAAGTGGGACAATCACAGATTACCAGCCAGTATGTGAAATAGGAAAAAGATCACAGTCCAGAACGTGCTCACCCTATCCCTGAAGTAAACACAGAGCAGACTACTGTTTATTGAAACGTGCATATTTCATTCTCTCTCAAACATTAGAAAGCAAATCACACAATATTAAGTTACAGGCCTTTCTCCTTATCTTTTGAAAGACAGACTAACAATAAAAAAAAAACTTCATAGCTTTGTCAACATAATTTTCAAACCTAATTAAAAGGGGATAAAATTTCTCTGACTACAAAAAAAATAAATAAAACACAGCCGGTAACAAACAATGCAACCTATCAAAAGGTAATGCAACCCAGTCTACTCATTTTCCATAACCACTTATGCAGTGCATGCTGACTGCAAGCCTGGAGCGTACCGCACCAAGCACAAGGCAGGGGACACGTACACAGCAGCACACTAAGAATGATTTAGACATCGATTCTGCTACAAGACTGTAAGGGTGACAATACACGGGGCAACTTTCTGAGCAATGTTGCTCGGGTACTTTCCTGTTAATATTAGGCAACAAATTTCTAATTGAAAAAACTTTAATTGGCAGTGGGCAACTTTTCGTGATCATCACAATCGAAAATGATTGGTCCATTGTCTCTCCTGGCTGGCAGTTGGTCGGCAACACTGTTCAAAAAAGTTGCAACCTTAAGAGGAAGCCAGAGAACCAAGAGTAAACCCACACAAACATGGTTAGAACATGGCAAACTCCATATACAGAATGCAAGGGCAGGGATCAAACATTCAACACTCCTGCAGGTGTGGGGTCAGCACTATCCAGTGAGACACTATGCCAGTCTAGCCCAAGTACTAAACACTAACTAAAATTTCACAGCGTGCTCTCAAAATCAGACAAAAGAACCAAAGCATATCGACAACAACCAGCAGATCTAAGGGCATGTTGCAAGCTGCAGGCAGGTTGTGTCACGTTCCCGTGTTCCTGTACCCAGAGCTGATGATGGAAGCTCAGCTCCTTGGAAAGTAATTACTGTAATTAAAACGCCCATGTTAGATAAAATAAATTCATGTCTTGCTTTTGGATATGTTGTAATCAAGCCCCTACTAATCTGGAAGACGGCAAACCTGGATTCTCACGGTCTGTCAGGCTCCAGGCATCTCTCAAAACTTCTTAATTTTAATCAAAATTTTTAATGTTGCCCTACAGTTATCTACCTTCCTATAGTCCAATAATCTGTGTGCATGCACATCTGGGCTTAGATAACATCTCTGCACTGCAACAAAACTCGTCAAAGTCTTTCATGATATGCTATTCTTATCTGAAGACACTAGCAAATCTATTCCAGTGTTTCTTGTACACCACCATTTTTGAGGCCACAGATCAAGTCTCCAGTTATCAAGGAACTTATGTGAAGCAAAGGACCCATATCAGATTGGAATATCAATGCTAAATTGCCTTTGTGAAACCCTGCATGGGAAAAAGCGGTATATTAAAACCAGCGCCGACTGACCAATAGAATGCCCACAAAAACAGGTGTACACTGGGGGCGCGACTGAAAGATACAACAGAAAACCACCACCTTTATAAAAAAAAATTTTTTTTTAAAAAAACAGCTGCCTACATTTCCACAACAATTCAATGAACCACGCTGGTGGGGGCTATAGCTTAGTGCAGTAGCTACAATGAATTCACCTTTTAAACTATGGCCACGGTAACCTTCAATGGGCTCTAAGCAAACACCCACAGTGAAGCTCTGAAGCACTCTCAAGGCACCAAGGTTAAACACCAAAGACTAAAAACAAGACTGCTTACTTTACAAAACAAAGAGTGACTATAACAAAGTACCGTGGTATTAATGAACGCCAGCCTAGATCTCGGAGGACATTATCCCAAGCTGTGATTAAGTGTGCCGTGCTTTCGACTATGAGGAAAAACTCCTTATAATCAAGATGTTACAGAGATAAAGGGAAGACAGTCAGAGCCCTGTTAGAGAGCTGTGTTCCCAGCCGAGCTGCTCCGAAGACCAGCACACCAATCCTTTCACAAGGGGGAGCCACATCTGCTTATCTGTCCAACCTGATCTGCTTGTACTTCAATCAGGGCAACAGGGCTCCATCCAAAGAGCCAAAACACTACTGAACCGAATGAATAACTGGGCCATTATAAGAAGGGGACTTTCTTTTAAAAGCATGATATCTGTTTGGTGATTCCCTAAAAACCCCAGGAGAGGTGTCATATAATCAACAGTGAGACAAAGGTCACATTTCATCATTAAATCTAGCACCCACCTCCCCCCCAAGATTCTACAATTAAATCGAAATAGCTAAATTAGCCCTCAATCATACCAAAACATATTTTACACAAAGTGTAGGGCTTTCTCATTGGTACCAACGACCTAAAATATGTCACGTTATTTGCCAATCATGGAAAACCACAATACTTGTTACTAAGGAATCGTGGAATTAATACATGCCCAAGAAATATACTCAAGCACATAAAAAGGACAGGACTACAAAAACACTGGGGCACAGCTGTAGTCAGCTTATAGTCCCAGCTTATAGTCCTGACCTCATCCCAGAAGAACAGAATCAGGGCAAAACAGCCCCCTTCAGCATTGTCAAGTTTACTAATGTTTTAAGAGAGCAGTATACCCGCAACTTCCCACCAGACATTAACAGGAAGCTTTCCATGACACACTGAACCAGTCACTAAGACCAACATACTGTTAATTAACTGCCTGCTAAAGACATTCCATGACTTAGTAATGTTAGGATCATATTCAGTATCAAATTATAAGTAGTCCGACACCCATTTTTCCACTGGAAGAGGGGTAAAAAACGACATCATGACCCAGAGGTGAACTGAAGTCAGAAAGCTTTTAAAAACAGCCTTATCTTAAATGGTTCACAGTACAGACCAGGGACAAGAGTCTCTCAGTCAGTCGGTCCACAGTTGTGTGCCTAATACGCCATCATGACTACCTGAAATGCACGTTACGCAAGTCAATGCAGTTTTGTGCTCAATAAAACAATAGGAACTTTGTACGAATCAAAAAACATTCCCTTTTTAATGAAGCCACACTTCAAAGATCATGTCTATGATTAGGCAGAGACCACAGAGCCTGGAATCCCCTAACACTAGACATAGCGTACAGCCCCACGCAGACTTGCAAATAATCCCGAAAGACCTAAAAATGGCATCACACCACAAGGTCAATGCGAGAGTCTAGTCATAGGCAGCAGGGAGAGAGGAGGAGGGAGGGAGGGAGAGGGAGAGAGAGGGAGAGAGAGAGAGAAAGGGGACACGTTCGGCTTTCCATGTCAAATTGCTGGGAGACCATGCAAAATTGTTCAGAGACCTCCAGAACTCATTTCACCAAGGCCAAGAAGAATTCCTTTGACACAACAATACTTAATGTCATAGCAGCCTGGACTCGATGTGTAAAACCCATCTGTCTTTTCAACTTAAAAATCCACGCTATCCGCTAAGGCTCATCTTTTCCCTTACTTTTGTCACATAGGGTAGCAAGCAAGAAATTGCCAGAATAAGACAGAACGGGAGGGGATACTAAAGGGACACTAGAAATACTGAAACACCAGTGCTTTCATAAACCAATCTGACTGTGAAAGCTTAGAGCAAACAGCGCACCATTACAGCCAATAAAAACCACACTGTACTCTACGCTAAACACTCTAAATTTAGAGTAAACCTAAAGTTAGGTCGCCTCCGTGCGCCACTGCATTTTAAATAATTTGCCCTGCATTCTTCTCAAATAACCTAGTATTCTCATTTCTGGGAGAGGCTACACATTCATCCTAAGATTACTTTTTTGGAAAAGGACTTCTCATTTGGGGAGGAGATTTATTTTCAGGGTTCCATTAAATACAGCTTCCTACTGTTTTTCTTTCAAAACAGAAAAACAGCTTCTTTAAGTAAAGTCATATGAATAGGCACCACAGGGAGAAGGCAAGCATTATCCCCCAAAAACAAAAAACTTTTTTTTTTTTTTTTTTTTTTTTTTTTTTTTTTTAGAGCAACCAGTATCAGGCATTCAATACAGGCATCACATGCAATAAGGACAGCTTACTTCCATTTAGAAGCTTGACAATACCCCCAGATGCAGTGTGTTTTATACAGAGCCCCACGTGAAATCACCCATATGGCTTCCAACTCTTTGGACTGTTTACAGAGACACATTTTCATGTTTTCCTCTCCTTATACATTTTTATAAAAACATACAGGGTTTTCCTACCACAATAAAGCGAACACCTCTGCCATCTGCTGGCACTCACAACAAACTGCAGGAGCACGTAAAATCGGTGACTGCAAGGTCCCATTTTCTTGCAATGGTATCCCCCTGAAATCATTATTCCCCATAAAGAGCGACAGCATAATTACTGCAGAAAATGCTTTGGTGTGTCAGAACGTGTAGTCAGGAAGTCAGGGGGGGAAATGACCAGCAAACTGGGACAGGGGCATCTCTCTTTCAAAATGGATTATGCAGAAAATGAAAAGCGTCTCCCAAAAATATCACACTATCAAGGGCAAGACTCAAAGATGATAGCGGTCACAAAAAAAAAAAAAAAAACAACAGTCAAACTGCTCCTCCCCTTCAATCTTTCAAAAGAGGCAGCTTGTAAAGCATAGAGCTTTCATGCGTGCTGGAAAATGGCCACTTTGATGGAAGCTGGAGGGCCTCGTGTGAACACATGGCTTCTAGGGCCTCCTTGCATGCTTGCCTGGCAGACTTCGAAGCTTGGAAGCCAGCCTGACAAGCTGAGGCTGTGTCACCGGACCCCCAGGGGCACGTTTGCAGGACCGGCCACTCCCCTCGCCCAGCAGAGCTGCTGGACAAGCGCCACATAAACCCAGACATTGTATGCATCTAAAACAACTCATATGGAGCAATACAGCACGTCAGCGTATGAGAGAACTGAAATCAAAAGCAGATCGAACAAGCGTGTGTTATTAAAAAGAGTGAGAAAGCAAATACAATTCATGTGCATAAGCTCCTTGCGTGTCCTTAATGTTATAATAAAAAAGGCCTTCAGAAACAGATACTGTTATGTCGTGCTAATGCTCAAGATACGAATCAGCAACAGCCATAGTAAAGCACAACACAACAAAGCCTTTCACATCAGAGTGATCTATGGCAGAGATGCAATCCCAAACAGCCTGATCGATATCTTGCTCTAACCGTAAAAGGTGCCTTTGGGCACTCCTGAGAGTCAACACAGCATTTCACTTTAAAATATAATGATGGACATTCCTGTACTGAAAGCTGGTCATTTGGAACTCAGTCTTAAAGCTGCTTTTGCTACGGTTTCAAATCATATAATAAAGCAGGCAAGGCAAAGTGCAAACAGTGTTTTAATGAGTAGTATCCCCTGAGGCAGTATACCAATGGCTGAGCACAAGGAATTGGGAATTGACTGAAAGTCTTTTGGTTTCCTTTAGTGTTCATGTGAATCATGCGCACCATTCCAACGCTCCTGCAAAGCCTCACAATAAAACAACTGACAGTAAGTCATGCAACATTAAAATACAACGGCAGATTCTTCTCATCGAACTTCTGAAAGCATGACTATTAAAAGAACCTTTGGGGTTTTAACAGTGATAAATTTACCGTAACATGGAAACGGCTGAGGGTTTATTTGGGGAAATTCAGCCCACAGAATTGAAGGGGAATTTGTGATTACATAACACAAAGTGGTCACAGTCAACAGGTCAGACACATCAATATGGGAAACTGTTCTGCCCAAATTACACATGTAAGCCCACAGAGCAGTTGTAGGGAGTCCAGAGAGGTTTTTGTAAATTAGTATTAACAGCTGGTTTACTGATCGCAAAAAATATTAAGAAAAATAAATATTAAAGCCCACCGTGGACCTTAATTCTTACTTATACGATGAGTAATAAGTGCTAGAGGGTTTCAAGCTGTGGTCAATTTTCATGTCTAAAATGGTTTACAAAATGTTGAAAACTCCTACTTTTAGAGATGACAAATCAGCCACAATTACAGTAGAGCCCCAAAGCCCCACATCTAGTACATCACATCCCCCCCGACTCACGCGGCCGTTGGCGCCCACCTGTCCTGAAGGGTTTTTTGAAGGTTCCGACAGGCCACCAGGGTCCCACCCATGAACATGTGACACACGATAACGTCGAGGCAGCTCTCCATGAAGGACACGACTGCGTCCGCCTGGAAGGTGCCGTTGCGCGAGATGATGCAGAGTCGACGCAGGGCACGACACTGGCTCAGTGCCTGGAAGAACCGGGCGTTGGCGTTGATGTAGGGCTGCTCGAGTCTGGGGGAAACAAGCAGGGTGGGAGCGGCCGGTTATGCAGAGCAGCTCAGCTCTGTTTACGTCTGCTATGAAGGCATTCGTCCAAACCATAACAAATTGACAATAGCAGACAAAACAAATTGACATGGGAGACAAAACAAAAAGCTGTGTTTCAGATTATTAGATCACATGGCTACATTATTTTGGTCATTGTCTTTCTCCTGCATCAGAACCTGGAATAAGTAATCTGAAACATGTACAAAATTACCCTAATAAACAGAGACTTATCCGAGGCATGAATAAAATTTATGAGAAAACACTAGCAAATCTAAATTCCAGAAGAATCAGCTATATTTTTTGTTAGTGAACTGCCAATTTGGCAATAGGCTTTTTGCATAGACATCCTACTTGTTTCAATGAATATTGGCTGAACAAGCTGGGATGACGTGTGACTCAAAGCAGTTAACAGTCCACTGTCTTCAATGCTCTAAAAAGGGAACAGGACAACATACAACAAAAGGCTCGTTGATGATGGAAGGATCATTAATAACGTGGGTAATAATTATTTTTTATTCATAAATAAAGCCTGTGTGTAGCTCATTCGTACAGCAGCACCACCGTCCAGCAACAGACCACATTTTTGTTTAATAACTTTGTGAATCTGCTGCCGCTATAAATCAACTTACTTTTTATGCTCATTCAGTACATTTGTGATTGAAGACATTCTATAGGTGGTTAAAGGTGGAGTGCATGGCGTTATATTGCAGTTAAAGAGCATAGAGCAGAATGGTACGGAGAGCATACACTGCGCTTAAAAAGCTATATCCTAATTTAAGTCAATGAAAAAATAAATCAACTATAAAACATAAAAAGCAGAAATGCAAAAATAATAAAAACCTGCACAAACGCTTATTCAATGAAAAAACGATCAAAATCAAAACAACAAAAGAAGACTGTAGAGACACCCAAACAAAATCAGCAAAAACCACGCAACCAACTACCGATGCACACACCCACAAACAAACACAGGAAAAAACACGCGACAACCTCCACAGACACCAACCCACACAAACACACAGAAACAGAGACACAACAGCAAGGACAGATAAAAAGCCGAAGCAAACAACACAAATGGTGACAAAAATCCAAAAAAATAAATACACACAACAATACACACACACAAACACACACACACACACTAAAGACTGCAAAACACACAACTGCAGCCAAGTCATACTTCAATTAAGTCTATATGTATATAAAATCTATATCCTCCTGAGACCCAAGGAAAAAAGTGTCCTTCAATTGTAGGTTATTTGTCTTTGGGGGAAATAAGACATCTTACAATTTAGATTTTTTCACATTTATTTTTATTTTTAATTTCACAGCATGTCCTCTTTAGTGTACAACAGGAATAAATACGTTTCCTAACATCAGTGAAAAGATAGATGCAAAAATAAAATGTCCACTAAAATGGACATAAATGAATGGGTGGGGTCTCAGGAGGATATCATTTCTCATAGACTACTAAAATTACATTTCATATTTTACACATATAAAGGCAAATATGGCTCACAGCCCCTTACCTTTACCATCTGGCTTCCCAAACACATTGTCAAAATATAAACAAATAAATCTACTGGCGTTTCATTTGCAAGTTCAAAAGTACAACGCAGAACCTGTCGCCCCCTTGTGGGCATTCCAATGAATTACATGCATCAAGAACTCAACAGGAAGTTTTGATATTGTTTTTTGTCAAACTGTATTTGCTCATACTATTTGTACTACAAAGTGAATATTTTTGCACTCTGCAACTCACCTTAAGTCTCTCAGTTGTTTGCAGTAAGGTAGAGCCTCAATGAGGGATGGCATGTAGGTCATGTTCTTCAGAACTCCCAGGTTGGCGAGGGAGAGCGTTTGCAGGTCCCGACATTTCATGGCCACCTCCAGCAAGCCAGTTCCCTTGAGCATCCCTGGAAGCTGCGCCAAGGTCAGCCTGCGCAGGAAGAGCAGCATACCCACCACCGCCACCTCCGAGTCCCCGATCTGTCCCGCCAGACTGCAAGCCGCCTGCTCTTTGCGGATGGCCGGCTCATTGCGGGGCATTGCAGAAGAAAAGTTCGACCCTATGAGCTCCAGCACTTCGAGGAAGGGGCTTCCCTCCAGGAGGGCCCGGAAGGCGGAGCTGGATTCACTGGCCCTAGGCTCCGAGTTTACCCTATAGGTCTGCAGGCCAACACGAGCAGTCTTCTTGAGGCCCAGCATGAGGGAGCTGGAGAGTGGAGCCACATTGTCCTGCACCACCTGCTCAGAGGTCTTCGCACCATCCGAGACGGCGCACACAGGCAGGGCCAGGGAGCGCAGGCTCCTCAGCCTGGCCAGGAACGTGCAGAGATGCTCCTCCGAGCCAGGCGTGCCGTGGTAGTGCGCTGCCGACAGGTTGAGGTGTCTGATGTTGGGGCAGGCGCTCACCAGCGACTCCATGGCGCAACCGTCTATCTGTTCGTCAGCCTTCCACGTACAGTCTAAGAAGAGCCCCTGAATGCAGCCGCTGAGGTTCAGGCTGACCAGCTGCCGGAGATCCTGGACGTTGCTCAGGATGCGGTGGATGAGGTGGCTCCCGAACACGGAACAGCGGCTGAAGTTCAGGTGGGAGGGCACGCTGTGCTTAAGGATGCACTGGAGGGAGGAGTGCTCCACCCAGGTCTTCGGCAGTTGCAGGGCCTCCAGGGCTCCGTTCCTGGCCATGCCTTCTAGAAGGCTCCGGGCAGCGGGCCAATGGCCCGGGTTATTCCCAGGAATAGAGATGATAAAAACCCGCAGGTGTTCGGGGACACGGACACTGAAGACAGCCAGGTACAGGTTCATGAGGGTCTGGTTGACCTCACCAGGAGCCAGCCGAGCGAAGAACACCTGTAGGTTCTGGTAGTGTGGTATGCTGCTCTGCCCCACCATCAGCTGACAACAAACAGTGGAGCCCTCTCGAGTGACATCGTGGATTTCAAAGTACAACAGCAGTCTCTCCAGGTTAGTACAGCAGGGGACCACACCATAGGAGGGTGTGTACAGGGTCTGCTTGAGCTCATTGACCCGGCTCAGGGTGGCCTTGCTCTCACTGCTTAGCTGATTCAAGTCAAAACCGTTGTCTATATCGATGGCCAAGGATCGCAGGCCCCTGAGCACAGACAGGATCTTTGAGAGTCTCAGTGAGGTGAGTCGACAACCTGACAGATCCAGCTTGACCAGACCTTTGCACCTGGTTAACTGGTCAATGGTAGCCCCAGAGAGCCAATAGCAGCCACTCATACTTAAGGTCTGGATGTCACTGGCCAGCTCCTTCACCACTTGCCTAACAGCATCATCACTGGCCTAACAGAAACACACAGATAAGAATATTAACATGCAACGGAAACAATGAAACCTTTTCCTACAAAGTTGCATGAGCTGATTGAAAACCATTTTGATTTTTTCCCCCCTGTTCACAATAAATAGTACAATCGCTAACATACTGAACAGAAAAATAACCAGAAATGAAAATAATTACAAATATTTTCTTTTCCTTACCAGATATTCTTTGGAAAGTCGAACATGGTTAGTGAGACTCTTGTCAAGACTCAGTGTCTTCATCTTTTTACAGACTCTGCCCACGCTGAGTACCAGATCATGACTGGGCACATGTGTGAGAATGTTCAACAAGATCTCATCGGAAAAACCTGAAATGCTGAGGCCACTCTCTTCAACACAGTCCAGACTAAATCTCGCCTAGACAGGATATACAAATGCAATATCACAAACTTAAGATCTTAATGGTAAATGAAATCCCTATCACACATTTATTTGACCCAGCCTCGATGTATTTGCATTTATTTAATATTTATTTGGCAGAGAATTGTGTCGAAAGCAACATGCAACTGAGACAGATAATACATCACATACAGCTGTCAAGGCAACTTGGATTTATGTGCTGCCAGAAACTAGCGGTTAGCCAAGTGCTTACATAGAGTGCACAGATTTGTTGATATACAAGAATTAACCAATAAGCATGTACCACTGCTTAATTACCAGCAAATGAATCCATTGTGATTCATGTTATAAGTATTTTCTTAGCTGAGATTGTCAATGAGTTACTTTTGTGATACCTGTAGAATCACCCAAATAAAATAAACATAAAAAACATACACATTGTAATTTTCTGACAACTCAACAAGGCTGAGTTATAGCATTAAATCTATTTTCCGAGATTCAACAACAGCTTAAAAGTATAACAGTATTTTCATTTTATGATCTTGACCAAACTTCACTACTTCATCAATAATTAAACAAAGCATTCTGGCGCAGAAATATTTTTATTGCTATATTCAATATTCATTGCAGAAGGAACACTTTAAAGGTTACACTACAGAATAAACCAATAAAACAACATCACTGATACAGTACGTAACCCAAATAGAGTATTCCATCAGGGATAAAAATAAAAAATAAAAAAAAAACTTCAACAGCCATTCTGCGAAACATTGGGGTATATAAATACTATGTTTAGGCTTGATGATAGTTTTATCTAAATTAATACTGCTAACGGTTTCAGGAGGTAATCAGAAAACGAGATTAGCTTAAGTTACTCATATGATGTTAGATGATATACCTTAAAAAGGGAAAAAAAATGTTTTCAAAGGACATTTCATCAATTTGTATTTTTATTTTTTTAAAATCTATCGATATATTTTCGCAGCTGCAGTTTAGCTGCGACTGTAACTTTCCCAACGAAAGAACTTCGCTATCAATAGATAGCTAGTGAGGTAACCGTGACACCATTGGATGCTGTGTGATTTAACTTACCTCTGTATTTTGATTATCCATGTTCGGTGTCCTTTTTCGACAAGAATACATACCTACTCAAATATCAAATATAATTCCTTATAATTATGAACTGATCCGTTTTATTTAGATATTTCCCCACTGCGCCCATTTCCAGGAGTAGTTGTAACACACCGGACCGGGATCGTGGACACACTTCCGAAACACAAACTGCACTTCCGGTGTCCGTCAAGTCACGTGATGTCCCCTGCGCGCGCTCATTCGTGCAGCTACGTAGGCTCATTTCATATGTGAAAAAGAACGAATCTGGCCGATATCAATGAGGGTAATAGATGGTGAAGAAATTGTAGTAGAATATTGCTGGGCGGAACTAGCTTTCGTTCTCATTAGAAAATGACAGCAATTGCTAGAATTTATCAAATAAAGGGAAACTGCGACACCTCTGTCGAACACCAGTTTTTTTATGAAGTGCAAAAGTCGCTATCAAAAAAAATTACATGGATTACACCGATGCTAAAATATTTTCTTGCTTTATTCTGATTTACAAATATCTTAATAGTTACCTTCCCCTCCCTTTTTTGTAGGCAGCTTAAAAAAGTAACTAAACTCTGTGGCTTTATTGCACTTGTTATTTACATAAGGTTATTCAAGCTGAATTATATAATAGCTGCTGTTGGTCCAAGATAACTGCCGTACAATATTCCCTTTCCATGTTCTGTGATGTCCAGGGACAGACTTTCTGTAATCATATGGAATCTTCATCTTTCAAGACATGGATGAGGGGGACATGCTAGCCTGCACATTCTAGCCTGCACCACACATTTGGAATATGGAATATGGCAGTTTGTGATGGCAGATTCTGAGACTGGGTAGACGTGGAACTACTTCGTATAAGAGGGCCGGAACACTATAACATGATGAAATGGATTGAGCTATGATTGTCATGGCAACGGTGGTCCAGCCCATGTTTGACAGGGGGTACAAACTGCACATTTTTATACAAGTTCCACACTTTTTGAAGATCTGTACAGTGCATGCCATCTTGCATGTGGGACAATTCCACCAACTCAAAAGGGCTTCCCAAAAGCACAGTCTGGTTCCCTGCCAAGAAACACCCAGAGGGGCTCGATGCATTGGATGGGAATCTCCTCTTTGTCAAATGAATGGACACCAGCGAGGTGGTGATGTGCTCCACCATGGTCAAAGCCTACGGTGGTGACATGGTGAAGAGGAGGGTGAAAGAGGAAGGTGTACAACATGAGAGGCAGGTCCTCATCCTCCATTCCTGCAGCAATGAAGGACCATAACAAAAACATGGGAGTCACGGACATCTCAGATGCCCTCTTAGGGTATTACGAGATTTTACATAAAACCAAAAATCAATGTTTTTTTCCCCCATTTCTTGGACATTGCCATTGTAAATAGTTATAATGTACAAGGAACCGGCTGAGACACAAGGACTCCATGTCATCCCACAGAAAGAGTTCTGAGAAAATCTATCTTATATTAGATTTGGCAAAGTTGAGTGCCCCGCTGCGTCCTTCAGAGCTCCACAGAAGTAGTGACACTTGCTATCCAGACTCTTATGCTGGAAGTAGCACATCAGCCCGAACAAAGTGCGAATTCTGTAGAAGGGTATGAAATAAAGACCCCAGTGTTTTGCACTAAGTGTCAGGTATCGTTGTGTCTGCTGCTAACACACAATTGTTTCCTGCAGTGGCACACTGACGGACTGCACCATTGAATTCTATTGAATTGCATGCTGAATATATTTTTATTGTTCATTTTTTTGTATTTTGCATTTTTATATATTTGATATGTATAACTATTTTAAATATTTATATATTCTGCAAGTTTTTCTTTTTTACATGTGTGACTTTGAATAATAAAACTGTATTCTGAATGTTTTTCCACTTCAAGTATACAGTGTCCAACAAGGTTCATCTTACAAATTAATGTAGATTTTGCATTATGGAGTCTTGTGCCATTTTTATAATTTATTGCTCCATTTATATTGAAATGTGTATCAAGGCCACAAGATGTGTCTTACTGCCTGAAGCCGCAATAATGCTTGTTCGAGGCCTTCTTTGTGTTTTTATGGGCTTATTTAGGTTCTTTCTGGACACTCCGAAAGGAGCCATTCAGACATGTCTGTTCAGATTTAATTTCCAAATAGAGCTTATATGCATTTTTTGGGTGAAAGATAACCTACAGGAGCATTGATCCAAATGGTATTCAAATTATGGAATACACAATATCGAGTAATATACTCAAATTTTCTTTCAAACTAAAAGTTTTTACCATTTGCTCCCCATAGACAAAGGTAATTTGACTGAAATTGATTACCTCAAGGCCTCTACTTTGATGACTTGACATATAGTAATTGCTTACTAATAGTTTTTTGACAATAGAATTTCCTTAGAAATTATGTAAATTTAGGGAGAATTACTGGAAAAATTACTCAAAGTTGAACACATTAAATAAAATTATCCAATTGAAAGTCTGCAGATTAACCATTATAAACATTTGCAAATAAAAAGATGATGCTCATGTTTATGAGTCAGGTATATTGTGCGTTATTTGGAGACTTATTGTAAAGACATTTGCATTAGTCAGTGTGTTAATTTTAATCTATTACAAACCAGTATTTTCAGATGCTGTACATCCAAAGGTGGAGTAATCCAGAAATACCTAGGATTTAAGCTTTCAATGAAGTTCATTGACATGTGTTCCATTTCAAATTTAAGTCATATAGCATTACTTTGACCTCAATAATCAGGGTGTCCCTTGCAACCCAACTTCATGTTTCATTTCCATGCAGACATTAGGAGTTCTGTCATATGCAGTGTATCCTGGAATTGACTAACCAATGGTAGTGTGAACTCTAGTATGCAATGCATGCTTACACTCGGGCCCTGCCCAACCCCAAGAAACTTTCACAGTAGCCATTATCAAAAGATAATTCAGTATTTCCGGTCATAATTGATCAGTAGTGTGCAGATTAAGTCAAAGAAAGCACTTAAGAACTTTATGCAGAAATAGTTTGAGGGTTAAGTAGCTATCTACAGAATGTTGAAGGGTGTAAATGCATCAGATTAAACATTTTGAAGAGGTGCATTTTTAAGATGTGTGCACTTTATTGAATTTTAGTCAGTGTACAAGTAGGCTCCACCAAGTCTGGCACTGCCACTTTCCACAAGTTTGTTGAAGGTGGATGTAAACCTTTGTTTGAAAGGTAAAGCTCCGGCATAACAAACCAGACCATGAATTTAAGGCTGAGAAGTACAAAAACCCAGACATTGTTTTTTTTTTTCGGTTATATAATTTACATAAGCAATACATCAAAATTAAGTATGTGCTCCCACCTCTACAGGGCAGCCTTCATAGAGGCAAACAACTTCTGGACAATGCATTCAACATTTGGAATGACAAAAATGCATGGTTTTTAAGTCCTCAGAGGCATTGTAGACCTTTCAGGGATGCTTTTTGCCAAACCTTGCCAACACCCTCACCATTCCAGTTTTTAAATCCTGAGTCAAGCGCCAAAAATAAGCCATGCCAATTTGTCGTTTCTGGTTTTTCTCTGCACAATTGGAGTCGGTGTGTGAAGTGGTAACAGTCCATTTAGAAACATTTGCGGTGGACGATGGAAGGTCCAGACTCGTCGTACTCCTGCTTGCTGATCCACATCTGCTGGAAGGTGGACAGGGAAGCCAGGATGGAGCCTCCAATCCAGACAGAGTATTTGCGCTCAGGTGGGGCAATGATCTGAAAGAGCAGAACCGGTGAGTATTATAGAACACTGCTTGAATCAGAACATTGAAAAGGGCTAAAAGCATACACATGTAAATGACTACCAACCTTGATCTTCATTGTGCTAGGAGCAAGGGATGTGATCTCCTTCTGCATCCTGTCTGCAATGCCAGGGTACATGGTCGTACCGCCAGACAGTACAGTGTTGGCATACAGGTCTTTACGGATGTCGACATCACACTTCATGATGGAGTTGAAAGTGGTTTCATGGATACCACAGGATTCCATACCTGTGGAACAGAATCACATTAAGTTTTTGCCATCACATAATGGAAACAACTTGCATCAGTGCCTTCAAAAAGTCTATTTACCCAGGAATGAGGGCTGGAACAGGGCCTCGGGGCATCTGAACCTCTCATTGCCAATGGTGATGACCTGACCATCAGGCAATTCGTAGCTCTTCTCCAGAGAGGAGGAGGAAGCAGCTGTGCCCATCTCCTGCTCAAAGTCAAGGGCAACATAGCACAGCTTCTCCTTGATGTCACGGACAATTTCTCTTTCAGCCGTGGTGGTGAAGCTGTAGCCCCTCTCGGTCAGGATCTTCATGAGGTAGTCAGTCAGGTCACGGCCAGCCAGGTCCAGACGCAGGATGGCGTGGGGCAGAGCATAACCCTCGTAGATGGGCACGGTGTGTGTCACACCATCACCAGAGTCCATCACAATACCAGTGGTACGACCAGAGGCATACAGGGACAGCACAGCCTGGATGGCGACGTACATAGCTGGGGTGTTGAAGGTCTCGAACATGATCTGCAAGTACATAGAAGAGACCATCAGGACACATCCTGAACTACAAACTCAATGCATGCATTTCACACACCTGAAGGGTTATATAGGTTATTCAGATGCACAACACAACATTCCTTATTATCAGTGCAGGATGAAACAAACAGTCAAAAAGGAGGAAAAACCTGCAGCTTCCAGCAAGAGTGGAGAAATTCAGTGATGAAGAGAATAACTCCTAAGATTTTGGAAGAAATGAAAGAAATGAAACCCTCACATACAAGTGTTCAATAAGATTATACCTGAAGTCAAAATAAAAGTCAACTAACCTGCGTCATCTTCTCCCTGTTGGCTTTGGGGTTCAGAGGTGCCTCAGTGAGCAGGACAGGGTGCTCCTCTGGGGCAACACGCAGCTCATTGTAGAAGGTGTGGTGCCAGATCTTCTCCATGTCATCCCAGTTGGTGACAATGCCATGCTCAATTGGGTACTTCAGGGTCAGGATACCCCTCTTGCTCTGAGCTTCATCACCAACATAGCTGTCTTTCTGTCCCATACCAACCATCACACCCTGAGAAAGAGCACAATGTTATCAAGCACATTCTATGCCAGGCATTCAGAACATAAAAATCAACTAATACAACAGACGGTTATATACCTGATGCCTTGGGCGACCAACAATGGA